GGTGTCTCTGTTTTTTTAAGTTTTACAATTTTTTTTGATATTACGATCCAGTTAATCTGGTTCGGGTTCGTGGCTTTCCTTTCTTACAAAAGTGTCTCCTCTAGGACTCGAATCCGAGATCCAAAGAAATTTAGTGGGACCTTACACCGTTACATTAACCTTTTGTTGATAAGTTTTAAAATGTTTTGTTACTTGAATCATTAGCATCTTTTTGTCTTTGCCATCAAGACTTCCTTAAAGTCAGGAAATCAAATAGAGAGAAATTCCCTGTCCCGAGATTTTTGCTTCAATTTTGAGATAAGCACACCAGTTGCTCCCCAATACTTTGTTATCAATTGTGAACTTGTTGCGTATGACCAGAAGAAAAAGAAAATCCTCCCTTTTCAGGTAAGATATGAAGGAAATTTGCTATGTGCTTTTAATTATGAATAACAAATCAGCAAATCGTTCTATGTTTTGTTTACCCTATCATTTTTATCTATGTTGGCGATGTAGCTAATCAGTTATTGATATGTTACACACAGAATAGTTCGCGTAAATTTATTAAATACAAAGTGTTTTGACAGGTTCTTGGTACTTGAGCCTGCAAAAATGTGTCTATGAGTGATATTAAAGCTTGATGCATGCATATTTGCCTTTGATATCTTTTATCTTAATGGCAAGCCACTAGTTCAGAAGTGCATAAGCTTTACTAAGCTGTTCCACTGTTAAAGACAATGTAAAGGTGGACAGAGAATTATAAGATTTCTTCAGTTTGCAACAGCAATAACATCAAATGATGTTGAGGAAATATACACAAGTTTCTTGATGCAGTTTTTGATGCTAGCTAGGTATCATTGATAGTTATTTGAAAGTCAAGTAGATGGAAACTTCATCCTTTTATTTATTCTGTGAAAGATACATACATATCTCTTCTGTGAGGGTTTAATTAGGGAAACTTTATCATTTCAAGTCACTACCCTTTGCATTTTCGAATGTTCTGCTACTCTTCGTACTAAGGTAATGATTCCCAAACCAGAGGTCCGTGTTTTTCTCTTGTTCATTCTCTCCGAGCCTGGTTTATTTATGTTGTGATTAATAATGTATGGAAGTGTTAAACTCACTTCTTAGTTGCAGCCTTATTATTGAAATGCAGAGACAATCAATCGTGATGTATGGTTTGAAGCCTCTGAGGAGAATGATTTTAACTTTGCTTTGTCATTAATCTGTTCTTAATTCCCTTTTGCTTGATGTATCATTCTACAGATTTGTCTGTGCCTATTTGTGCACTCGTTTTGAATTCTTCATTGCTTAAGCGAAAGATCAGAAAGCGTCTTCATTCTGTGGCTGATGCTACAATGATCTGATTCCACATCATGATCAAGTTCTCAAATTTGTTGATACATTGTCTTCTGGTTTCTCTGTCTTTGCTGCATTTTTTTTTTCAAATTATCTTTGGGACTTTGGATGATGCGTTTCATACAATGGCTTTGCTTTTCCTTTAATGCTATTATTGAGATAAGAGCCTTGAATTCATCTGTTATGTTCGTTTCTTGCCTTATTAAGCTTAGTAAGCTAAAGATTTTTACTCATTTTCAGGTTGTTGAAATGTATTCTGCTAAAAAACACAATCTCCCGAGCAAGCAGGATGATGATTGAGACAAAAAATTTTCTGCCGGTTCCTCACATAGAAGATGATGTTTATCAGAACTATATCAACATCTGATATGCAGATGCAGATTTTATTTTCCCCTTCAAACATGGTCAGTGAGATAGCAGAATTGCGTATCTAATGTAGAGTAAGATGTAGGAGGCTTATTTGTACTAGGCATGATGTGATGTGGGTTTAGTGATTGGTCATCTATTCTTCACAAGAAACGTACTGATCCCTTTTCAGTAATCAGAGATTGGGGGTGTTCAAGCTAACCCTTTAATCTTTAGAGGGGAAAAGATATAAACTTTATAGTTTTTGTTTATTTTTAGGTCAACAATATTGTTAGTCCTTATAGTTTTGATTGAAATTTAGTTTTAATTTCTGTAATTTCAAACTGTTGATGTTGGTTCTTATAGTTTAATAATTTTTTTTCATCTGATTTGAGCTTAACAAATGGTCATTATATTTTTAATGAGTTTTGATTTTAGTCCATACGTTGAAACTCAAATCAATGTCTTTATGAAATTATAAATACTAAAACCAACAATTTTAAATCACAAAAACCTAAATCAAAATTGAACCAAACTATAAGAATCAACAATAATATTAACTCGTGTTTTATTTACTTGGCCTGTATGTGTGTGGGCGCTCTAATAATGGCACAGGAGGCAGTAAGTGCCAAGGAGGAAAAAAGTTTGTCTTTTGAAGAACCCTACAGATTCTGACCCTAATTCCGATATTGCTGGGAGAAGGGTGAATTTGTGCCCTTTCTGTTTTCCGATGGATTTATAAGAACAGGATTGAGTTAATACAATCTGTGTTCTCTCAAATTTATCTCTATTTTGATTTTGATTCCTTAAAAGACAAATAGTTCAGCTTTTTATTAAATTATAGAAATTAATATTTTAAAAGAAAAAAATTTGAGTAACCAAAACGTATGATCTGAAATTTAAGAAATCAAAATAAAAATAAACAAAATTATATTAACCTATGAATTTATTCATGGTGTTGCAGAGTCCAACAAAAAACCGAGTAAATCAGGGCTTCCTCAAATTAAGATATAGAAATTTATTTCAATATTCTATTGGCAATGATCAGCCAACCACGTGCACTTCTTTTTTTATCAGTGAGAGATTCGCGGAAGGAGCAAAATACGAGCACACTACAGAACCAAGGACCTGTCTTTTAGGACAAGACACGAAGAATAACGAGAAAATAGAGACATTAGGTATGTGAAAAAATGATAAGCTCTGATTTTTAATATAAAACTCATTTAATTAATTAGATTAAGTAAGTTAAGTAAGTTAGTTAATTATAAAAAATATGATATATTTTTTTCTAAAATATCATAATTATCTTTCTTAATATTCTTCATCCCTCTCCTACTTTATTATGATTAGAGAGTATTAATAGAGTAATTTAGAAAAAAAAATTAATAAATGTGATAAATAAGTCTTATATTTAAGATCCAGATCGACTCAACAATTAGGTCTATCGGAGGAGTATATAGATAACATATAATTTTATTAATTATGTGCCATTTCTCACAATTCCAAGCGGGATTTATTTTTTAATGTTTGAAAACTTTTAAGTAGATACTAATTTATTTAACAACAATTTATGGATTTGACTGAGTCGTAAACTAGTATACTTATATAAAAGATTATTTTTAGGGTGAAATTCATAGTATATATCTATTTATGGTTGGTTTTGGTGCAAACCATGTTTAGTTGGAAATTGATATAAATAGGATAATTCAACTATTGAAAAAAAGCTATCCAGAAACTGATTAAATACTCCCTGTCATTTTGTGGCAACCAATCATTGTGAGATTAGTTAATTAGCCACCAATCAAAAATTAAGGAAAGGAATTATTCTTATTCTTAACATTTCATCATGCGCTAATTTAAAATATATCTTCCAATAATCATGCACTCCCACTAGGTCATTATTTTATGTGAATATGATATGCACTTGTTTAGTTGTCTCCATATATAAAATAAGTTGTTGGGATGACCTTGTCCATATCTAATGATCTCATTAAGGCATCTTCAAAAGGCATAATCCCTTTCTATGTCTTTAAATATCAAACATGATTGCATTGAAGAGAAGACTTAATAATATTTTTATTTTGAGAAGATTGTTATTGGAATACTGAGCAGTGTATATATATCCCGTAAGGTCCAATCAACCACTTGCTGTTTTGCCGGAAAATAAACACATATTTTTATTGAATAGTGCTGGCAAAACTTTAATTCACAAAGAAGACGGGGAATTATTTGAAGAAACTCTCTCCCTCTCTCTCTCTTAAAAAAATAAATTTCTTATTTGTAAGCACTTTCTTTCAATGTGTAATCTTATTCAATTTTTTTTTTCATAATAATTATCTAACATGTTATGTCTAAAGTAGCATTCAACATTTTGATATTATTTCTCACATGCTTTCAACACTATAATTTTATTTATGGTACATTCAGCATCTTAATGTTATTTTTCTAGTATTTTTAGCACCCTGAATCATAAATAAGATTAAGATATTAGATGTAACTAGAAAATAACATCAGAAGATATTAGATGTACTAGGAAAATAATATCAGAGTACTAAATGCACCATAAATAAAATTAGGATGCTGTTTCAAATTTAATTATCATTCACAATGAAATCATAACTCAACTACTCAATAAAGAGATCCAGAAATTAGTTTAAATTTTGACCTCCTTTTTTATACACCGAACTCAAATATGAGATCCTAGTTAAGAAAAATTGAAGTTTTTTAATCAATATCCAATCACTGTGATTAACATGTAGATATTATTTTTTCCGTCATTGGGGTTTTAGGTTTTCGTCTACAGTTACATGCACCAGTAAAAACAACACGAAATCATGCAAGAAGAACCCATTATATTGTTCAGTTAAAAAAATATTGAACCTGCGAACGAACTAATAGTTGAGATGAAACCAATCAAATTAATGTGTGTTTGATGGTAAAAAACCTTATTTGTTATTGAGAAGAAAATACGAGAAAGGACTCAATGCTCGGCCAGAAGTGGGCTTAGTGGAGCAGTTTTGTTGAAATCAGACATAAGACATGGGTGTGTTGACATTCTGCCAAAGTTCTGAAGTGGTCATTTTCGAATGGAAATATAAAAATCTGAGCGTGACGTTGCATTTGCAATTAAATATGGGGTGGTGATGTTGCCATTTGAAACCTTCCCCTAAAACCTTGCCTTTGATACTTTTAAGAATCAAAACCTAGGTAAAATTTTTTAATCAATAAGCCCCAGAAATTAAATAGGCACGAAATTTACGGTTCTGTAGAGTAGTGTATATGAATCAACCATGGTTAAGTCTTGAGCAACACAAGGTCATTTCACTGTGACTTGTCCCATGAACATCAAAGAGCCTTCGCTGTTGTCTTAGTCGGCGTAATCATCTGAGGTTTTAAATATTTCTTTAATGCTTGTCCATTTCATACACAACTTCGTCAAGGAATTGACTTCTTTGTGGGTTTTTCTGGGTCTTCTGATCTCTCTTCTGATCTAATTTTTCTCTTCATCTTTTAGACCCAGAAAACCCCACATATGATCTTTTTGGTCAAGTGGGTGATCTGATCATTTTCTTGACTTCTTGATTTTTCGTAACCCATTTCTGCAAAAAGGGACAAGTTTGGTTTTTTGAAAAACATTTCTCTGTTCTTCCTAAGATTTTCCCCTAGTTCAATACTTTGAAGTTTGAATCACATCTGTCTTGCGATTCTGTGAGTGATATATTGAGATATATCACCATGGGAACCAACAGCGAGGAGCAGATTGCTTCACATGGAGGGTCTGAGGTGAGATAATTTCAGACTATGTATATGACTATGTTCATTAAATGTTTGTGTGTTTGGTTCTGCTTCAACGACCACAGCTTCAATTGTTGTTATTTTTGTCTTAGGTTACATATCATGGCATGGTAGAAACTGAAATTAAAGAGACGACGATTCCAAATCATCCTGTGCAAAAATTGATTGCAGAAAATTCTTCCAAATCTAACAGTATGGTCGTGAAGGTATGTTACCATACTTTCCATTTCCTTTTGTTTCAAGGCAAAGATAATTCCCTCCATTATTTTAGTTCACGAGTCACTGGAAGTTGAGTCATTACTTGCTTCAGTGTATATACATTTGACTTTAGTATTTCTAAGATTTAAGGATCAAAAATTGCATTTTTCCCCTTGTTTTATCAGATACTGTACTCATCTTAGAATTCTTAACTCATGGACTTAAATCCAAACAGAAACCACATAAGGTGATTCCCGCTCACATCATAGCAGAAGCCATATCAACTATTCGTGATATTGACCTTAGATGGTCAGGTCCTATAACCCAGAAAGAAATAGAATATGTTGAAGAATATGTTCTGGCAAAATACCCAGAATATTCAGGACTCATTGAAGGTGATGGGATTGACCTCTCTAACCTCATCATCAACGAGGAGCCTTCTTCAGAACCCATGTCAGATGATCGAAGAAAATCACCAAGAGGAGGTTTCAGAGAATCTTCCACACAATTTTTTGGCAGCAACCTTCGTGAATTGGACAGAACCCACTTAGAGCCTTCAAGATTACTCGATATTCTCTCCAAGAAATCCTCATTTCCTGGAAGCTTCATCTCCATCCCAGAAATCCAAGCTCACAACAAGGTCTTGAAGCATTGTGGGTTGCCTGATGATGAATATCTTGTACTCTTCACTCCCAGCTACAAGGATGCCATGATGTTGGTAGGTGAAAGCTACCCTTTTGTCAAAGGAAGCTATTACATGACCATTCTTGAGGTAGAAGAGGATTACATCAGAGAGTTCGCTTCTTTTAAGGAATCCAAGGTGATCCCAGCACCAAAGACATGGTTGGATCTGAGGATCAGTGGGTCCCAACTAAGCCAGAATTTCAGAAGGAAGTGTAAGATCAGTCCAAAGGGGTTATTCTCTTACCCAGCAGATGTGAATGGGACAATGCATTGGGTTTCAGAAGCTCACAGGAACTCATGGCACGTTCTGCTTGATGCTTCTGCATTAGTGGTGGGCAAAGATAGGCTTCATCTTGCTCTTCACAGGCCTGACTTTGTGGTGTGTAGCCTTGAAAATACTCATTCTAATCCTTCTAGAATCACATGTCTCTTGGTCAGGAAGAAGTCATTTGACACATCTCTTGCTTCGTCTCAGGACCTGTAATGTTTTCTTTGGGACATTTGTAAAACGTTAAATGTCTTAATTATATGATTTGGCTTCAGTGGACTCAGAAAAAAGGGCATGAATCTCCTGGCGTTACTTTGTAGATTGAATAAATGAATGAATTAAATTGACACTTATAGTACAGTACAGAGATATGAGGGCCAGTCTTGTTACTGGTTTGGATTCATTATATATGCATGTTCTTAATGTCACTTAAAGTGGCTTATATCATATTCCTCTCGTTTTTTAGTATAAATTACACTACAAAATAAATATTACATTTAGGACCGGAGAAGTACGTATTAATTAGCTATTGAGGTTTGGTTCTTGTTGCCAAAGTCATATTTCCCATGACAAGTTTTATATATTTGAGGAAAATCTACAAAATTTCGTGACATATGACTTCACTATAGATACCATTCAGTGTTCTTCCTCACTGCTACTGAGGTTTGTGAACGAACATAATTTAATTAGCAATAAGAGAAAATTCTTACATTTTTTTAAGCATAGTCTTTTATATTATTATATATACGGAACGATTAACCACATAGGTATATTCCTTCAAGCTATTTTGTCAGTACCTTTTTTTTTTTTCAATCTTTATGGTGCATCAAAATTGATGTTGAACTAGATGGAAAAGTAAAAATTGAGAATAAAAGGGAAAAATTTAAAGAGGAAAAAGGAGACTGAAAAGGAAGTGAAAGAGAAAATTGATATTTGAAATATACTAAAAAAGTATTTGAATGGAATCAAAACTATAATTTTAAAAGTGATTTTATAGTATATGAAATAAATATGTAAAAGAATTTATTTCGATTTGCAGAAAGAAAAACAAACACGTACTAAATCTAAAATCTGCCGTTGAATGAAGGCTAAAAATGTTTTTGATCTAAACTAATTATCATAATTAAAATAATAAAGAAAATCTGAAGATGAAGAGTAGAGTCGGTAATATGGGTTGAGCTCGCGGGCTCAACCGCCAACCAGCCAAGAAGTGGTAGGTTGGATTGATGAAAATCAAACTTGTTTTAAAACGGATTTTTTGAACCCGTAACCGCCAAGACTGAACTTGTGGCGGCCTGGCGGGATAGCCCGTAGGGTTGGCGAGCCGGTCCATTTTATTTTATTTTTATTTTTTAAAATTTTTCTCTCTCTCAAATATAATTATGTTTACTCCTTTGGTCTTTTATCTCATTCTTATTATTTAAAATTACTATAATGTAATATATCTTTTACTTTGTATTATGAATTTTACTTGTGGCAAAGTTAGTTGAGCAAAAAGAAGGTGATTCTACTTATAAAACTTAACCAAATAATTTTATATCTTTATATCATTCTTCAAACTATATCAACATTAAATGGCGGCTCATGGTTGAGCACTTGACAGTAATTTGTAACATTGTGTTTGTATTATTATTAATTTAGATTTGTTATGTTTTAATTTCGGAAGTATGTTTAATCATTTAGGATGATGTATCGTGTATGTTTATAGTAGTATTTTGAAATGTTTGGAACTTTAGATTTCATATTTTATTTATAATAATTTCTATACGCATATTTTATTTTAGCTGTTTAAGAATTAGAATAAATTTTATTAAAAGAAAAAAAAAGGCACAAATTTTTTTTTTTAAAAAAAAAAGTGGTAGGTTGGCGGGCCTAAGCTGCCACGTTGGGTTGGAAAAATATTAGCCCCTTAGAGGTCGGTCTTTTTAGGACTGGCTTGTCGATCCTTGAGCTCGCCATGGGTCAACCCATAACCGGCAGGTTGGCCCATATTACCGGCTCTAATTAGGAGTGAAACTATAGTTGCCCACTAACTAGACTCAAATAATTAATTAAAATAAACTCATTAATAAATTTAAAACTAAATTAAAATAATTCAAATATCTGCCTCAAAAATACTCGAAAGTAACCTTTTCTTTGCTTTCTTTGGAATCCCTGAAATTTAAAGAATGAGAATTCAGATTCCTGCATTCCCATATAAAGCATATTTAGGGCCAAATTATTTAAAAGGAAAAAAGTAATTTTGATTAGTTAAACTTTTGGAAGAAATATGTTTTCAAGCTATTTTTTTCCCTCATGTTTAGTTTAAGGTTTTCTCATGTTTTCAATAATTTCCTTACGTTTAACTTAACTAAAATCACTTTTTTATTGTTACAAAAAAAAATCACTTTTTTATTAATAATTCTGAATATTTTAAAATTTTTTATTTTTTTTGCCGAATGTTGTTGAATATTTTTTTATTTAAATTCTGTTGATTAAATTTCTAAAAAAAAAATTTGGTTGATGGAATGGTCTCGATGACTAGGGAAGAAGGGGGATTTTTTTCCAGCGACACAAAATTTATGAATCAATTAAAACTTAATATTAACAGATTGATTAAAATTTAAAAGGCCTAACTTGCGTGAATAAGAGTATTAGGTTTGGCACTAATTAGTTACTGGGCTACTGGCCTAATTTTCGGCTACACCATCCAAGCCTAATTTTTTTTTTTGGGGGTACAAAAGAAGGCAAGAGCCTTAAAGAAAATTACATCACAGGGGATTGTAATCCATAGCCCAATTTTAACTCGAGACGTTACGACAAATTGGTGGTGGGCGGAACAGATTAACATAGGTCTAGGTCCGTTCCCATCCTTTTCCCCTATCTTCTCCTTCTGTAATTCTTGGATTGACATTTCAATGTTATGGATTTGACCTTTTATAAAATTATTATAAAAAAGTTTTATCAGTGTGAATTATGTCAGGCTTGTGAGATCTTTTTCGCAAAAAAATGGTCCTTATTCTCATCTTTGATGGACTAATCGTACGATCTTTGCAGGTTGGCACTTGGACTCCAACCAAGTTACTAAGAGAAGCTCCCTTTAGTTTCTATAATTTCATGGTCAACAAAAAAAAAAGCTTCTATAATAAGATTTTATGCGTTCAGTAAATAAGGGTCCACTCAAGATATGATCGCCACATTTTCGAACTGGTAATTTGGTTATTACAGTAAAATAATATGTTGGCAGAAAAAAATTACAAGAAAATAATAATTACAATAAATACTAATCTATAAATAGACTGGAAACAAAACAAATACCATAAAAAGAGAACCTCTTGTATTCTATGAACTTGAAGGCCTGTCATAGGCCTAATGAGTCCAAAAGCCCAATTCATCCAAACTTTTCGTTACAAAAGAAAAAGCACAAGTCCACCCAAAAAAACAAAAAAAGAAAGAAAAAGCACAAGTAAATCAAGCATATACTTCGAGAAGAACAACTATGCACCAGAGGCATTTGATTAATGACAGAATATACTCTGGTAATCAAATAAAAATTAATGATAAAAAATCATTTGCCTCAAGTTAAAAATCTAGGGAAATTTATGGTCAAATTTTAAAGTTCGTGAGTTCCCCCCCCCCCCCAAAGGATCATTGACATATACATCAAGTTTAACCTGTGAGAAAGAGAGAGGCCAAGGAACAACCGAATAACATTGGATATTTTTAGTTTTTGTAGAGAGGATCTGCATCCCGCTACTAACACAGGACCACAGCACATGGAGCTCAAATGCTCTTATCCTTGTATACTCTCAACAACAGTTATATTCTTATTTACTGTTCCATCTTTCTTTATCTGTCTATTTACTCATTTTGGTAAAGACAGACTATTTGATCTTCAATAATTATCTTGATTAAATACTATAACAACTAAATGTTCAAATCAAACAAAAACATTCTCCTCAAGAAATATATTAATATTATTACTAGAGGTAAGAAAACAGCGATTAAAAGAAAGTTAGTACAGAGACAGGAGGCAGCTACAAGATTCTAGTTCTAGTTTTAAGCAAAGAAAAAAGTAGTAGTAAAAACTTAGAACGAAGGGAGCAAAACACACTTGTACATAACCATTCAGAATCACTGACTCGTTCTGCCATCGCCTTCCGTGATCACATCCTTGAAGGTTCCATTGCTGGGAATCATTGGCAACACATGTTCTTGATGAGGCACAATCACATCAAGAAGGTAAGGTCCAGGAGTATCCAACATTTTCTGGATTGCTTCCCTGAGCTCTTCCTTCTTCGTCACACGAGCTGCCGGAATCCCAAAACCTTCTGCAATCTTCGACATGTTTGGGAAAATCTCATGCTCCCTAGATGGATCTCCCAGATACGTATGAGCCCTGTTCGATTTATAGAACCGATCCTCCCATTGAACAACCATACCCAAATGCTGATTATTCAGCAACAAAATCTTCACAGGGAGATTCTCTACTCTTACAGTTGCTAGCTCTTGCACATTCATAAGAAAACTACCATCACCATCAATGTCAACTACAACCACACCCGGATTCACGACGGCAGCACCTACGGCAGCCGGCAAACCGAAGCCCATGGCGCCAAGACCTCCTGATGTCAACCACTGGCGGGGTCTCTTGTACTTGTAAAACTGAGCAGCCCACATCTGGTGCTGTCCAACTCCTGTACTTATGATGGCATCACCATTAGTGAGTTCATCAAGAATCTGAATTGCATGCTGTGGAGAAATAGCATCCTCGAACGTCTTGTAACTCAAAGGGAATTTGCGCTTTTGCTCATTCAACTCTTCTCTCCACGTTTGGAAATCTAGTTTCCCTCTAATTTCTCTGCTTTCCAAAATCTGATTAAGACTTTCCAAGGCCACCTTAATATCGGCACAAATTGATACATGTGGTAGCTTATTCTTTCCTATTTCAGCTGCATCAATGTCAATATGCACAATTTTAGCTCGGCTAGCAAACGCCTCGAGCTTTCCAGTCACACGATCATCGAACCTCACTCCAAATGCAAGCAACAAATCACTTTGATCGACAGCATAATTAGCGTAAACAGTACCATGCATCCCAAGCATTTGAAGGGAATATACATCACCAACAGGATATGCCCCTAAACCCATCAAAGTACTAGCAACGGGAATTCCAGTGAGCTCAACAAAACGCCTCAATTCTTCACTTGAGTTCACACAACCACCTCCAACATACAATACTGGTTTCTTCGAGTCCATTATTAACCTCGCTATTTGTTGCAGATGGATCCCATCTGGAGACTTGGGTAACCTGGAACTATAACCAGCAAGCTTGATGGGTTGGCCCCAACTCGGAACGGCGAGCTGCTGTTGTACATCCTTTGGAATATCAATTAGAACCGGGCCGGGTCGCCCGGAAGTTGCTAAGTAAAATGCCTCACTCACAATCCTAGGAATATCTTCAACATCCATCACGAGATAATTGTGCTTCGTGATAGATCTTGTTACCTCAACAATCGGAGTTTCCTGGAACGCATCCGTACCGATCATTCTTCGCGGGACCTGCCCGGTGATGGCAACGAGGGGAACACTGTCAAGCATCGCATCAGCGAGGCCGCTGACGAGATTGGTGGCGCCGGGGCCAGATGTCGCAATGCATACACCAGGAAGGCCAGAGGATTTAGCGTAGCCCTCGGCGGCGAAGATGCCGCCCTGCTCATGACGAGGAAGGACGTTACGGATGATGTTGGAGCGCGTGAGAGCTTGGTGGATCTCCATGGACGCGCCGCCGGGGTAGGCAAAAACATTAGTGACGCCTTGCCTTTCAAGGGCTTCTACGAGGATGTCGGCACCTTTTCTAGGTTCGTCAGGAGCAAATCGTGGAACAAACAGTTCAGAGGCGCCGATAGTGGTGGTGGAGCTGGGGGCGGCGACGGGGGAAACGGAAACAGAAGGTGCTTTTGGGGTGGGATTAGGATTAGAGAGGGAACTGGAGATCCGGAAGGAATGGGGATGAATGGATTTGTGGGGAAAATGAGAGAAAGGGAGAGTTAACAGATGGACGCGCTTGGGGAATAGAGATTCAGCAGAGGAAGAAGAGGAGAAAGGAGAGGATGATGCAGAGAAGGACGCAGTGGGAGAAGCCGCCGCCATGGTGGACATGCAGAGAGGAGCTGAATAACAGAGTAATGGGTGAGTGGTGCTCACTTCAGTTGGGTTAGAATGTGGTTGAGAGTTGAGTCACACCGGAGGGCCCCTAAACCCATGGAAAATAATAATAATAATATAAATCCAAAACATCAAAAAACAATTATATAAGAATATTTCAAAAATTGTCATCAGTTAGGCAATGATGCCGTGGAAAAAAAATTATCCTCATTTAAGAAATAAGAACATGTTAATACATTTTCATGAAAGAGCAGTTTAAATAAATATGATAGATAGAGATATTTTTAAAAAAATCCATATATTATAAAACTTAATTAATTTTTGTCTAACTCTCATATTACAAACCAGAGAGGTAGTATCATACTATCATATTTTCAAAAAATTATTACTTAAGTCTTTTTTAAATTACAACTTTATAAAATTAGTAATTATTATTTGAAAATTCATAATTTTAATTTTTGTGATATATTTAAGGGTCAATATTATTTTTTGGTTCTTGAAATTTAAACCTATTTTCATTTTGGTTTTCTAAATTTCAAATTCGAGACTTTAGTCCTTAAAATTTAGTCTATTTTAAAATATTAGTTCTTAAAAATATAACAGGGCCTACTGAAATGCTACAAATAATATTAAATGGTTGGATTTTTTCTAAATAATAGAAGGAAAAAAAAAAGAACACATCACCAAAATGCAGTTGTCGCAAATTCTATAAACTAAAATCGTGGGTTTACAGCCAAAATCAAAATAGGTCTAAATTTTAAGGACAAAAAATTATATTAATCATGCATTTAATTTAAATTTTCAAATACAAAGGCTGAGCCACCGAAGAGACGAAAACGGTGGGCCGCATGCAAATTGCGTCAAAGCTGCCCAGCAAGGAGGGCGAATCGGCGGGTGAAGGATGAATGAAAGGGTAAAATAGTCAATGCGGAGAATGAGAAATGTTGGCAATTCTGTTTTGTCCGCTTGTTGATTACAGCGCACGTGTCATGTCATGTGGCATATCAACTGTCAAGTACAAGCCCACTTCTATTTTTGGGGGTCCACAGACGTCAACCACTTGGGTCCAAATCCTTTGCATCGCCTTCAATTTGCAAAACAATTAAAAAAAATCCATATTATTCACGTTTCACATTTTCACTGCTTCCGCTAGTCTCTGATAATAACCATTTGGTTCCAATTTTTCTCCAGAAAGGAAGCTCACGTCCAAACACGTCAAAAGACATTAAATTAAAATCCGACTCACCCTTTCCTGTGCTTCACGTCTGCACCCAAGACGACAACTGATTTCCATTTGCGATCTCTTTTCAATTTGCCATATTTTGATATTTGCCATGTTTTTAATTTGGAAAATATGTCAAGTTACTTAAACCAAATTTTGTTCATCCAGAAAGTTTGGACCCCACGCACAACTCCTATACTCAAATACCCGAAAAAGACACCGATTTAAGGGTGTTTGTAACCCTCAAAAGTATTTTTAAGAAGAATTTTTTTATAAAACGAGACAAACTCTTTCACATATTTACTTCATAAACGGTAGAAATACTTTTAAAATTATGGCTTAGTTTCTATCCAAATACCTCCTTAAAATAGCAAATCGTGGTAGTTGGTTTTGAGATATTTGTACATAAACTCAAATATCCTCTCTTGTTCAGTTGTTGAATCAAGTTCAACGGATTTGTTAAATATCATGTTCTAAATCATAAGGGATAGGAAATTTCCGAGCACCATTGCATGAGACCAACATCTTTGCATTGTCACCTCAAACAGTCATCTTCAGTTCAGGCAGTTAACTGCAGAGAAGGCAAAAGAAACCACAGGTTGAATCAGAAATCATTTTCAGTCATCAGTATGCACAACAGGCCAAAAAAAGGTTTAGTAAGCGCGGATTCCCTAGAAAGAAGAAGATCATATAAAGCATTTATCTTTTGGAAAGAAAGAAACACGCCAATCAAAACACATTCCAGAATGGAATCCCCCTGGGTACTACCTTGAACAAATTTTAATTCACATGGCTAATGCCATAAAAGCCAGATGCTAAAGCAGAAATGCATTTCAACCGTCCTCTTGAAAATAATTCTCATGCCCCGTGTTGTATAATAATGGAATAAATATAAAAGTTAGGTAGGGTATTTATAAGAAGTAGCCGTTAAACAACTGAGGCTATAAATAGATCACTCAATCGTATTTCCATAATGTGATTAGAATGAACGATTCAGTGTATTACCCAGTTCCTAATCCTCTAATGACCCCTCTCTGATTGTTCTTAGAGCCGATAATACGGACCAACCCGCCGGTTATAGGTTGGCTCGTGACGGGCTCAAGGACTGACAGGCTAGTTCTAAAAAGACGGACTTCTTGTGGGTTGATATTTTTTCAACCCAGCTTGCACTTTTTTTAAAAAAATTTTTTTGTGTCTTCTATTTTCTTTTAATAAAATTTATTCTAATTATTAAACACCTAAAATAAAATATGCATATAGAAATTATCATAAATAAAATATGAAATCCAAAGTTCCCAACATTCTAAAATACTACTATAAGCATACATAATTCATCATCCTAAATGATTAAACATACATCCCAAATTAAAACATAACAAATTTAAATTAATAATAACACAAACACAATGTTACAAATCACTATCAATGCTCAATCATGAACTACTATTCAATGTTGATATAGTTTGAAGAATGATAAGAAGATGTGAAATTATTTGGTTAAGCTTTATAATTATAATCACCTTCTTTTGCTCAACTAACTACAAGTAAAATTCATAATATAAAGTAAAAGATATATTATATTACGGTAATTTTAAATAATAAGAATGAGATAAAGGACCAAAGGAGTAAACATAATTATATTTGAGGGAGGAAAATTTTTTTAAAAATAAAAAAATAAAATGGGCCACCTCGCCAACCCTGTAGGTTAGCCTGTCGCGAGTTCGGTCTCGGCAGTTACGGGTTCAAAAGATCCATTTTAAAACAAGTTTGATTTTCATCAACCCAACTCGTCACTTCTTGGCAGGTTGGTAGGTTGAGCCAGCAAACTCAATCCATATTATCAGCTCTAATAATTCTTCTCTCTTGAATCCTCTCTCCCTTCTTAGTCTCTTTCTACTCCTCTGTTCTGTATCCCTCCATTATTCCCTCTTCCTCTCTCTGTCAAGATTATGATACCACAACACCCGGCAAAGTCATTTATTTTGCTAATGCCCATGACTTACCAAAACATCCTAAATTTAAAGTAGCAGCAGATCAAATGTACTACTGCTGGTAGTCGACAATCCATAAAGGTATGCCAACAAATTTTAAGGACAAAAAATTATATTAATCATATATTTAATTTAAAATTTAAAATAGAAAGGGTGAGCCACCAAAAAGAAAAAAAGACAATAATATTAGTAATAATACTATAAATCCAAAACTTCAAAAAAAAATTATATAAGAATATTTCAAAAATTATCATCAGTTAGGCAATGATCATCATTTAAGAAATGAGAACATGTTAATACATTTTTATGAAAGGGCAGTTTAAATAAATATGATAGATAGAGATATTTTTAGGAGAAAAAAATCCATATGTTATAAAACTTAATTAATTTTTGTCTAACTCTCATATTAGAAACCAAAGGAAGTATCGTACTATCATATTTTCAAAAAATTATTACTTAGGTCTTTTTGAAATTACAACTTTATAAAATTAGTAACTATTATTGAAAAATTTATAATTTTAATTTTTGTGATATATTTAAGGGTGAATATAATTTTTTGGTCCTTACAATTTAAACCTATTTTGATTTTGGTCTTCCAAATTTCAAATTTGAGATTTTAGTCCTTAAAATTTAGTCTATTTCAAAATGTTAGTCTTTAAAAGAGTAACAGTATCCACTAAAGTGCCACAAATGATATTAAATGGTTGGAGTTTTTATGAATAATAGAAGAAGAGAAAAAAGAACACATCACAAAAATAGAGTTGTTGCAAATTCTATAAACAAAAACTGTTGATTTACAACCAAAATTAAAATAGGTCCAAATTTTAAGGATAAAAAATTATATTAATCATACATTTAATTTAAAATTTCAAATGGGAAGGGTGAGCCAACAAAAAGACAACAGGACAAGGATGATGATGATGACGATGATATAAATCCAAAACTTCAAAAAACAATTATATAAGAATATTTCAAAAATTATCATCAGTTAGGCAATGATCATCATTTAAGAAATAAGAACATGTTAATACATTTTTATGAAAGGGCAGTTCAAATAAATATGATAGATAGAGATATTTTTAAAAAAAATCCACATATTATAAAACTTAATTAATTTTTGTCTAACTCTCATATTAGAAACCACAGGTAGTATCGTACTATCATATTTTCCAAAAATTATTACTTAAGTCTTTTCTAAATTACAATTTCATAAAACTAGTAATTATTATTTGAAAATTTATAATTTTAATTTTTGTGATATATTTAAGGGTGAATATAATTTTTTGGTCGTTGCAATTTAAACCTGTTTTGATTTTGGTCTCTTAAATTTCAAATTCGAGATTTTAGTTCTTAAAATTTGATCTATTTTAAAATGTTAGTCCTTAACAATGTCTACTGAAGTGCCATAAACGGTATTAAATAGTTGGATTTTTTTGTGAGTAATAGAAGAAGAGAAAAAAAGAACACATCACAAAAATACAGTTTTCGCAAATTCCATAAACAAAAACCGTCAGTTTATAGCCAAAATCAAAATAGGTCTAAATTTTAAAGAAAAAATTATATTAATCATACATTTAATTTAGAATTTCAAATAGAAAGGGTGAGCCAACAAAAAGACAAGAAGACAAAAATAATAATAATAATATAAATCCAAAACTCCAAAAAACAATTATATAAGAATATTTCAAAAATTATCATCAGTTAGGCAATGATCATCATCTAATAAATAAGAACATCTTAATACATTTTTATGAAAGGGCCGTTCAAATAAATATGATAGATAGAGATGTTTTCAGAAAAAAAATCCATACATTATAAAACTTAATTAATTTTCGTCTAATTCTCATATTAGAAACCACAGGTAGTATCGTACTATCATATTTTCCAAAAATTATTATTTACGTCTTTTCTAAATTACAACTTTATAAAACTAGTAATTATTATTTGAAAATTTATAATTTTAATTTTTGTGATATATTTAAGGGTCAATATAATTTCCTGGTCATTGCAATTTAAATCTGTTTTGATTTTGGTCTCCTAAATTTCAAATTCGAGATTTTAGTCCTTAAAATTTAGTTCATTTGAAAATGTTAGTTCTTCAAGGAGTAATAGTATCTACTGAAATGCCATAAATGATATTAAATGGTTAGATTTTTTGTGAGTAATAAAAGAAGAGAGAAAGCGAACACATTACAAAAATGTTGTTGTCGCAAATTCTATAAACAAAAACCATCGGTTTACAGCCAAAATCAAAATAGGTCCAAATTTTAAGAACAAAAAAAAAATATTAATCATAAATTTCATTTAAAATTTCAAATAGAAAGGATGAGCCAACAAAAAGACAATAATAATAACATAAATCCAAAACTTCAAAAAACAATTATATAAGAATATTTCAAAAATTATCATTAGTGAGGCAGTGATCATCATTTAAGAAATAAGAACATGTTAATACATTTTTATGAAAGGGCAGTTTAAATAAATATGATAGATAGGTATAATTTTTTTAAAAAATCCATATATTATAAAGCTTAATTAATTTTTGTCTAATTCTTATATCAGATATCAGAGGTAGTATCATACTACCATATTTTCATAAAATTAATACTTAAGTCTTTTTCTAAATTACAACTTTATACAATTAGTAATTATCATTTGAAAATTTATAATTTTAATTTTTGTGATATATTTAAGGGTCAATATATTTTTTTGGTTCTTGCAATTTAAACTTGTTTTGATTTTGGTCTCTGAAATTTTAAATTTGAGATTTTATTCCTTAAAATTTAGTCTATGTTAAAATGTTAGTCCTTAAAGGAATAACAGTATCTATTGAAATGCTATAAATGATTAAATGATTGGATTTTTTTTAATAATAGAAGAAAAGAAGAAAAAAAAACACATCACAAAAATGCAAATGTCGCAAATTCTATAAACAAAAATCATGAGTTTATAGCCAAAATCAAAATAGGCCCAAATTTTAAAGAGAAAGGGTGAGCCAGTAGAAAGACAAGAAGACGACGACGACGACGACGACGACGACAATAATAATAATATAAATCCAAAACTTCAAAAAAAAAATTATATAAGAATATTTCAAAAATTATCATTACTGAGGCAATGATCATCATTTAAGAAATAAGAACATGTTAATACATTTTCATGAAAGGGCAGTTTAAATAAATATGATAGACAGAGATTTTTTTTTAAAAAAATCCATATGTCATAAAAATTAATTAATTTTTGTCTAATTCTCATATTAGAATCCAGAGGTAGTATCATACTATCATATTTTCAAAAAATTATTACTTAAGTCTTTTTAAAATTACAACTTTATAAAATTAGTAATTATTATTTGAAAATTTGTAATTTTAATTTTTGTGATATATTTAAGGGTCAAAATAATTTTTTGGTTCTTGCACTTTAAACCTGATTTTGGTTTCCCAAATTTCAAATTCGAGATTTTAGTCCTTAAAATTTAGTCTATTTTAAAATGTTAGTTTTTAAAACCATAAATGATATTAAATGGTTGGATTTTTTGTGAATAATAGAAGAAGAGAAAAAAAGAACACATCACAAAAATACAGTTTTTGCAAATTCTATAAACAAAAACATCAGTTTACAACCAAAATCAAAATAGGTCTAAATTTTAAAGACAAAAAATTATATTAACCATAGATTTAATTTAAAATTTAAAATAGATCGGGTGAGCCAACAGAAAGACACAAATGGTGGGCCGCATGCAAATTGCGTCAAAGCTGCCCAACAAGGAGGGCGAATCGGAGAGTGAAGAATGAATGCAAGGGTAAAATAGTCAATGCGGAGAATGAGAAATGTTGGCAATTCTGTTTTGTCTGCTTGTTGATTACAGCGCACGCTTGTGTGGGAAAGGTTAAAAAATCCCCTATAAATATATTTCACATAAACTGAGATAAAACTCTTCTCACGTATTTGCCTTGTATTCCATAAATTATTATTAAAAAACTATTTATAAACTACTTATAAACTGTTTCAAACAGACTCGATATGTCATGTGACATATCAAGTGGAAGCCCACTTGGGTCCAAATCCTTTGCATCGCTTTCATTTTGTAAAACAATTGAAAAAATCATTATTATTCACATTTCACATTTTCACTGCTTCCACTGGTCTGTGATAATAACCTTTTGGTTTCAATTTTTCTCCAACAAGGAAGCTCACGTCCAAATACCTCAAAAGCGAACCTTTTACAATGACACTAAATTAAAATCTAACCCACCCTTTCCTGTGCTTCACGTCTGCACCCAAGACGACATCTGATTTCCATTTGCGATCTCTTTTTAACGAGATATTTGACATTTTTTTAATTTCAAAAATATGTTAAAGTTACTTAAACCAAATTCTGTTCATCCAGAAAGTTTGGACCCACGCACAACTCCTATACTCCGATGCTCGAAAGGCACCGATTTAATTTAAGCAGAACAGTGTAATACTATTCCCAGTGCAATAAAACGCAGCCCCCCCATAGCAAATCGTGGTCGTTGGTTGTGAGATATTTGTACATAAACTCAAATATCCTCTCTTGTTCAGTTGTTGAATCAAGTTCAACAGATTTGTTAAATATCATTTCCTAAATCATAAGGGATAGAAAATTTCCAAGCACCATTGCATGAGACCAACATCTTTGCATTGTCACCTCAAACAGTCATCTTCAGTTCAGTCAGTTAACTGCAGAGAAGGCAAAAGAAACCACAGGTTGAATCAGAAATCATTTTCAGTCATCAGTATGCACAACAGGCCAAAAAAAGGTTAGTAAGCGCGGATTCCCTAGAAAGAAGATCATAAAAGCATTAATCTTTAGGAAAGAAAGAAACACGCCAATCAAGACACATTCCAGAATGGAATCCCTCTCGGTACTACCTTGAACAAATTTAAATTCACATGGCTAATGCCATAAAATCCAGATGCTAAAGCAGAAAAGCATTTCAACCATCCTCTTGAAAATAATTCTCATGCCCCGTGTTGTATAATAATAAAATAAATATAAAAGTTAGGTAGGGTAGTTGTAAGAAGTACCCGTTAGACACCTAAGGCTATAAATAGATCACTCAATCGTATTTCCATAATGTGATTAGAATGAACGATTCAGTGTATTACTCAGTTTCTAACTCTCTAACGACCCCTCTCGGATTGTTCTTCTCTCTTGAATCTTCTCTCCCTTCTCAGTCTCTTTCTACCCCTCTGTTCTCTATCTCTTCATTATTCTCTCTTCATATCTCTGTCAAGATTATGATGCCACAACACGCCGCAAAGTCATCTATTTTGCTAATGCCTACGACTTACCAAAGCATCCTAAATTTAGAGTAGCAGCAGATCAAATATACTACTGCTGGCAGTCGACAATATATGAAGGTATGCCAGGGCACGCATTATTGCAGCAAACGCAGTTAAAGTTGAAGGGAACGAAGCATATTAACTAGTTCACATTCTTAAAGATTCTACACACTCAACAATAGGAAATACTGAGCTATAACCTTTATGTTCATAACATTTGAATCATTATGTTACACAGACACAGATTTAAGCTAGCCACCCATTTTAATTCTGGGAACGGACATAAATACTCAAAAGCAATCTAGTTGAACTACTTGAAACCCAAAGACTCCATCTAGTTACTCCATCTCTGTTTCAAAAGGGAAATATTTACAAGTTTAAGAAGTTAATAACAGTAAGGAATTACACATTCCGGCTGCACTGATTAACAAGGAACTATGGGATTAACTATCATTCTCTAGAGTAAGTCACACAACATGGACGAAAAAGAAGAACATAATAAAGCACAGAAAATAGGCATAAACTAATCCCAAACTTAAGATGCTCCAACTATAACAGAGTTTGCCCACGTAATGCCATCTGACAGAATGAGAGCTCAAGATGCTAAATGTAATCAAGCGCCAACACCAAAACATCAACAACAGAACAAAAAGCAGCATGAACTTTTATCTTTAAGGCTCAGGGAGGAAAAACAAAAAGAATCTCTGTCTTCCCACTCTTCAGATCTGGGGCAGCAGGAAGAAAGGCATGTTTATCACCTAATTAAATAACTACAAAAGTTAAAATTTCTCAATCACACTGAAAAAGAACATTTGCGATATCAAGAATCTTCACCAACCCTCTCATATCATACCTTTCCTACTCCAGAAAGAGAGGCTACAAGTATTCTCAATGTGAAAAAGTTTTCTTTGCACAATAAATCCGTGTTAGGCTATTCCCATCTTCCCAAAAATCACCTAGTTGCTAGGTTTCAATCTTGAAGTGTTATCTAGTTACCTATCTAAGCTTCATAGCTATCTAAGGCACAAAGCTCCCGCAAATTCAATCTGTCTGAATATGACTCCAGTGTCCACAGGCATGCAATCCCACTTAAGTTACTACTAATAATATTCCATCAACTTTATTGGCAACACGCCTCTGATGTGTCTTGTGTGCATCTTAAGAGGACAAACTTGTAAATATCTCAAATTGGCATTGCCAATTATAAAAGAACATTTTCCAACCCAACATCATTAAGTATTTAAATTTACATATTCCATCTCCATCTCGGTCCCACTAACAAATATATAATGAATAGAGTACCATACAGCTTTTACCAACCATACTTCCATTTCAAAACAATCCTAATATGACTATTGCCTTGGCACATTGGTAAAAAAAGTGAACATTTCCTAGTATTATTTCTAGCCTGAGAGAGATCTACATGCACAACCTGCGTGCAAAGTCTTCCTTAGCTAAAAAAATTGGTGATTCTTCTGATTTAGGCTATTCCAACATCAATTTGCAAAAGACATGTTCAGAAAGGGAGGGGGTGCAATCTTCAAAACGTTCATAGATTTCACTCTTGAAATGTTAGTCAAACTTCATATTTATCAAATGCAGGAGTGTCCAGCTAACTCAATATCAAACTGAAAATGACCCCAGCGTCTATAGGCATGCACCCTCATTTAAGTTACCCTTCATCACAGCCCCTCAAATTTATTGGTAAAACATATTAGATGTGTCATGTGTTCAATTAGAAACAAAGAAATTTTATCCCAACTTCTAACGTAATAATAGAATTGAAAGAACGGAACTTTCAAGTTTATGCTTGCCCTTCCAGAAAGAAGAAAAAGAAAAAAGAAAGAAGGAAAGAACGGAAGATCAGCAAGGTTTAAAGAAAGTACCAAACGGAAAGAGAATCCTTTTTATCAAACTCGTTTCACGAATGAAAATAAAGCAAGGTCCTACCTCTGACCATCAGGATTGCCCTGTCCACTGCTCCCGCCGCTGCCGTAGGATCCATCATCCGCCGCCGTCTGCCACACTGACTGCCACGCTTGGGAAGGCGGTTGCGCGTAGACTCCGGTGGGATCCACCGCAGGCCGTCCAATCATCATGCCCCCGGGAGGGCCGGCAGGTTGGCCCATAGACGGATAGTAGTAAGGAACACCGCTCGCGGGTGCCCCCATCATTCCACCAAGGGCAGCCTCGTCCTTGATCTCGTCCCTAGGCACAATATCGACCAAGAAATCGAAAATATCAGTGCGGGTGATAGCGGCGGCGATGTCGTTCTTCTGGAGAGTGCGCCTCTTGTTCTCTTCGGCGTGGAGCCAGGATCGAATGGTGAGCTCGAGGATGAAGAGCTCGCAGGCCTTGGCGAACAAAATGGGGGCTTCGGCAGAGATCATGCGGACGTCCTCGTCGGCCTTCATGATCTTCTTGATGCGAGCGAGAGGGAGCTGGTGGTTCTTGAAATCGTTGACATGCTCGATCTCTTGGCGCTGGATGGTCCAGAAGGTGTGAAGCTGCTGTTGCTGTTGTTGAAGAAGGTGGTGGAAGGAAGAAGGAGGAGCAGGGGGCTGAGGTGGGTAAGCGGAGGGAGGTGGGGCTTGCTGGTGATTCTCCATTACTGATGTATTCGATGGTGAATGATGAATGGTGCGATCGGCTTCAACGTTAATGGTTGCGTCTCGCTTTTCGGGCGTATCGAGACTTTTTGGGCGACGCACATAGAGAAACTTCTGCCGTTTCTGTATTTTTAACTTGGAATTCCTTCCATCAAGCGTCTCCTCATTCGAATATTTTGAGTGGTCTCCAAAAATGCCCACAATAGTTGGCCCTAAAAAAAATTTAAAAAAATACACATTTTCTATTCCAACTTTATACATGTTTTAATTTAATCACTTAATTTTATAAAATATTTTCTTAATTTTCTACTCTTAATGTTATTAGTTCCAAATAATATTGTTACCAATCATTTTTTTAATCTTAGCATTTGTAAATATTTTGTTAATATTTTAAATTTTAATGTCATTTTCTAAAATAAAACTGACAGTGCGTTAGACTTTAGAAGAGTAAAAGAACACTTTATAGATATTTCCTTTTGCAAAAATAAAAAACCTGATATGAATTTCATATATATCCAACACAGTATTGTCCCCCTCACATGCTGAAGCAAGCCTAATGATTTTTTTGTTTTTTTGTTTTTTGACCATTCAAGCCTAATAGAATTAAACCACAAGGAATGATAGATAAATCACAAGGCATTGATTGGATATTTGAACTTTTTCGAAGTTATCCTACTATAAGAAAGTTCCAGCAACCTAAAATAATGAAACATTGGCAGATGATTAAAGACCTTGATGTATTCCTTGGACCTCTTGTAAACCATTGCTTTTCTTGATATGATTCAGCGTTCCATTGAACCAAATAAAATGGAATATTGATCTTGCAAAATCAATTTTACGTCAGAAAATGTAAAATTGATATTTCTTTCCATCTTTAAATAAAATTGTCTTCTTTTCATTTGATTGTTTATTACCGTTGAACTGGCCACTCCTAAGATCCAGCATGTTCTACACTGTTGCCAAGTATCATCCCTGAATCAAAACTCCCAAAATTTACAGCCACCGAAGAAGCCTGGGATAAAAATAAAAATCTTGGCTAGTACAGTAAAACTAGGCTAATACAGTGACTTTATCATGACAAGGACAATAATCTTCAAGATAACAGTGAATAAATATCAAGGATAATAATCTTCAGGAAATCTGGAAAGAGAGTAAAGACGCACATGTAAATTAGCGATAGGAGTACGAAGGGCCAGCAAAAGAATAACGAGATGAGACTGGGATTGGCGCATCGTCTGGCCTGGTCCCATTGTAGTGCTGGGTCCGGTTATATTCTGACAGAGCTTCAGCTGAGTACGTTGAATATCGCCTATCTTGACCAGTTTCTCTCCTCCGAAGGTGTTCATCAGCCCTAGCCAAGGTTCTTTCACCAGCAAAGTAAGAACTTGAAGGGATTTCCTCTCTAGCCAAGGGTGGTGGTATATACGAGTCCCTTGATGAAGTACTGTGGTGATAGTGATGATATAGATCATTTGCATAGTCATGTCTTGTACCACGACTGTAGGCCTGATACTTGGTCTCATCCAAATAAGGAGGATCAGGGCGAAGTGTTTCTGCATGTACAAGGACATTGTCCCCGTAGATAGGGCCCACATGTTGACGGCGATCCCTTTCATAGTCTCTCTCGTAACGATCCAACCTGGGATTGACATGAGATGGAGGATCTACAACACTTCTATCTCCTTGTAAACCATAAGCTCGATAGTCCCTCTCGGTAAGAAATAAATCACGACGAGCTTCCTCTCTCCGTTCAATCCGGCGAGGAACTTCCTCTCTCTGTTCAATCCGGCGAGGAACTTCCTCTCTCTGCTCAATCCGGTGATCTCTTCCATCAGGCAGCCCATTATAACTATTCAAATGGCTATTGGCATAATATTCTCTGACAGGCCGTTCCCTCTGGGAATGTAGCCTTGATCCCCTTACACCATCACGAACTTCCCTATCCCGGACAGTCACCTTTGGAGGGGAGCGGGCAGGGCGCAAAGTAGAATGAATTCCTGCTGGTCGGAATAGCTCTGTCAGCTTCCTAACCTGAATCATAATATTTGAATATAATCAAAGATGACAATTCGACAAAAAGGTGGGAAACCAAAAGAGGCAACATTTGAATCTCACTTGTCTAACAGTAAGTTCTGTTTTGAACTTGTTCTTTTCATTGTAATTTTCCTTGATAGCCCTTTTGAAAACGCTCTCGGGTAGCGGATAACAATCCTTGTCGATGGAGAATCGCACCTAAAGGTTCAAACCATCAGCACGTAAATCTCAACTTAGCAGACAAGAATCTCAGCCAAAACCAATTGAGAACATAAACAGGGGAAAGAAGACGTAACCTGAGCAGAAAACAAACCCTCAAAAGCTCTTGGTTCCAGTTTCATGCCACCAGAAGATGTTGCCTGGTATATCCCATACAACAGCTTAAGATCAAAATCATACAGAAAAAGCTTCAGCCCTGGCTTGATTCCATAAACAACATCTTTTTTACCAGCTGAAACACCCATGACACGATAACGGAAACAATCGGGTTTCGTCTTTGCATTGCACATAAAGATTAAGCCACCAAGTTTTTCTCTGTTTTTCTCATTTGATTGACTCTTTCTAATTCCACCATCCCTACCTTTACTCTTTTTACTCATGGCATTGCTCCTATTATGCCAGTCCACCTTATTGCTCTCATACCTCTGGTTCTTCTCAGGCTGTTCATCAGTAGTTCTCTTCAGTCGGGTGCCTAGTGAAGTTTTTTTATCTGAGCTTCTCCATAGTTTCTTATTCTTCCTCCTTTGTTTTTCCCAAATCTTCTGAGCAACTTTATTCTTATTTGTCTTAAATTTACTGGCCTGAGATTTCTTCACAATTTTAGGGTTGGCCTTTAATGATTGTGGGGTATTCTTGTCACTTGACTCAATTTTACTAGATCCTACAGGAGGATTCTCAGCATCCTTCTTGCTGTTATCTTTTTCTGATGGCTCAGATTTAGAAGACACATTTGGTGGATGCTCACTGTCTTTCCTGTTTTCTTGTTGTTCCTTATTCCCGGTGTCCCCTTGAACACCATTAGTCTTTTTGGCCTTGGATCCACCAACCTGAGACTTCTTGACAATTTTAGATTTGGCCTTTAATGATTGTGGGGAATTCTTGCAACTTGACTCTGGTTGACTAGATTCATTGGGGGCATTCTCTGCATCCTTGATGCTACCTTTTCCTGATGACTCTGTATTCTTCTTGCTTTTATCTATTTCTGACAAATTGGGCTTTGGAGACATATTTAGAGAATTTTCAGTGTCCTTCCCGCTTTCTTTTTGCTCCATATGCCCAATGTCTCCTTGAACGCCTTTACTCACTTTGGTCTTCAATCTACGAACCAGAGACTTCTTCACAATTTTTGGTTTAGCCTTTAATGATTGAGGATTATTCTTGTCACTTGTCCCTGGTTGACCAGATCCTTTGGAGGAATTCTCTGCATCCTTCATGTTATCTTTTTCTGATGAATCCGCATCCTTCTTGCTGTCATCCTTTTCCGATGACTCTGCATCCTTTTTGCTGTCATCCTTTTCCGATGACCCCGCATCCTTTTTGCTGTCATCCTTTTCTGATGACTCCACATTCTTCTTCCAGTCATCCTTTTCTGACGACCCTGCATCCTTGCCATTATCCTTTTCTGATGACTCTGCATCCTTGCCAATATCCCTTTCTGATGACTCTGCACCCCTGCCATTATCTGTTTTTGATGACTCTACATCCTTCTTGCTGTTATCATTTTCAAAAGACTCAGATTTAGAAGACAAATCTGGAGAATTCTCAACATCCTTCCTACTTTCTTCTTGCTCCACATTCCCTGTATCCCCTTGAGCCCCTTTGGTCTTTTTGGTCTTCAAACTCCCACCCGGAGACTTCTTGACAATTTTAGGTCGAGCCTTTAACAGTCGTGGGGTATTCTTGTCGCTTGAACCTGTTTTACTAGTTCCCTCAGGTGCAACCTCTGCATCCTTCATCTTATTATCTTTTTCTGATGACTCTGCACCCTTCTTGTTGCTATCCTTTTCTGATGACTCTGCACCCTTCTTGTTGCTATCCTTTTCTGATGACTCTGCATCCTTCCTGATGCTATCCTTTTCTGATGACTCTGCATCCTTACTGCTGGTATCCTTTTCTGATGACTCTGCATCCTTCTTGCTGTCATCCTTTTCTGATGACTCTGCATGCTGCTTGCTGTTATTTTTCTCTGTTGATTCAGCATCCTTCCTGCTGTCATCCATTTCCAGTAACTCAGGTTTAGAAGATGCATCTGGAGGATTCTCAATGTCCTTCTTTCCTTCTTGCTCCATACTATACAGAAGGCCAAGCACACTAGCTTCCACTGAAAAAAACTTACTGCAAGCAAAAGGATATGTGTTTCAAACTCCAAAATCTTGCATTCCAAAATCTGAGAGTGATGAAAGGGATATAATAAGCGAGGAGAAAAATGACAAAGGCAGCATGATAACAAACGGAGAGGAACAAATACAAGCATTTGAACTCTGAGAGGCACCACCAATGACACATTAGACTGATATAAACAACTTAAACTCAATAAAGAAATGGATACATGTTTTAATTTCATGTTCAAAAGACAGGCATGCGTGAATAATAATGCCCAACACATGCTCAACACAGAATTTCAAATCTCAATCACACAAACCTATCTCCTATACCAAAAAAGCATAAACTATATCTAATAAATTGGTTTACCCCTCTCAGGACAACATTACAAAATGAGATGATGGTCCAAAAAATGAGGCCTCAGCTTCATCTAACTCAGGAGCCAGGGGTTCTGTAAAACATACAGTGGTGTTGAGAAATGATGCTATGCGGAAAGAACTCTGAATCTAATTGCCAATCCTTCTCTGATTGAGGGTTCGTTAGGGCATGGTGATAAACGGCATCTATTTTAAGGAGAGCAATGGTGGGGGCTACTTATTGTAAGGGTACAGTGAGAAATGGCAGAGAAAAGCAACACAATAGGGGCATTCGCGGGGCTCCAACTTGCTCAAGATGATGCATGGTTAGCAAAACATTCTTCATACGGGTTCTAGATCCCATGAAAATATCCATCTTTATCTCCAATATATGTTTCTTCTTCTTCTTCTTCTTTTTTCAGTTCCTTCTTCCAAATCTTCTTGTGAAAAACCCATCGCAGGTAACAAAAATGTTGCCAGGCAAGAATTTTCATGCAGGCAGTTTACCTAGTTCATTCTGAATGATACCCATAACAGTAATGTTCCAAAGGACATGTTGCAGCTTTTGAATGTCCGGATATGACGGACCATAGCCTAATTTTGGAATAATGAATCAAAAACTGTACCCAATTGTAACATTTTTAATGCCAAATTAATAATAATTTGAAATATCACATATAAAACAAATATGCAATATAATTATATGAATAAGTATTGAACCATAACTCAGCAACCAAGAAGGTAAGGAATTAAGTCATGTAGTGAGTATGGCATGGTATAACATATAAGATAAAATGATTTTTAAAATTTTAAGATTCGAACATGTAGGATGTGGGTGTATTCAGAAAATTAACACATGAAAAGTCAACGACATTTAAATTTAAAAAAAAAAAAAAAACAGAGGAATCTGAAACAAGCATTTCTAATGTGAAATAAGATGTCCATAATAAATATTACTCCGGTCCTAACTATAAGATCCATTTTATAGTGTAAATTATACTATAAAATGCAAACTATCATTTTCATTCACATCAGTAAGATCCCATAAAACCTCGAGTTATTTTGGCACATTTTGAAATGTTTCGAACAAAGAGAGCAAGATAATAATGCTAGAGTAGTATGCGTATCAAATTGAATGCATATTCAATATGAACATTCCCTCTTTCATGTTGCATCAGCACTTCTTATTCTCGTATATAAGCTCATAAATCACGATTCATAAGCAATTACATTGGTTTATCCTGCCTATCAATAATACCAAAGAACAAAAACAGCCAATATTAGCAGTCCTGCACCAAAATACAGAACAGAAACTAGGAATTCAACCTCTAAAAAAGTACAGCACTAAACAGTACACAGGACAGCCAGAAACTTTGGTGGCAGTTCATTGGCACTTTAAACAGAAAATAGATGTTGAAAGTCAAATTCAGGCCATCTTTTAACCCTACGTGCACAATAGAGCGTTGACTCCAAGTTCTGGACAAAAATAGCAATAAAAAGTCGATGTATCACACAATCAAGCTTTAAACATATCTTTATTTCCTAAAAAAGAAATCCATATTAAAGTTTAATATCCTTCATGACTTCAATTTCGGATTACATGGTAGTTTTACAAATTTTCTTGTTCTCTTTGATGTCATAATTTATTTGCTCTTACATACTCAATCTCCATCATCCTTAAAACATGTGACATCACTGATAAATGAAGGCGATCACTAAACAGACAGAAATTAATATATCACAAGCCACAAAAACACCCCTCCTTGCTTCTTTCAATATGTTATAATTCATGCAAGGAACTGTAAACTGTTACTTAAACCTCAAAAAGTTGGAAAAACTATGAGGGGAGACTTCAGTTGGTTGTGCCCAACAGACATGCTTTTGTTTCAGCAAAATTTCCAGAAATAAACAGCGTCTTTTACTGCTGCTTTATATAGGTTATGTTCTGGACCCAAAAAGCAAAGTTTCCATTCAGGAACCGCTTGTTTTCACACAGCTCGCCCATTAGGTTGCACAATGGGAGAAAACAGGACAGCAGCTAGGGAAGAACGCTTCCTTCCAAAGGAGGAGAGATGTTTCGTGCCAGGGGTGGGGCAGAGCTGGGTCCAGGAAAGGAGAGGGAGATAAATTCGCGGAGCTGCCCATGAAGAAGTGGAATAGGTTGATAAATAGGAATCTGTACCAGGTTTGCCCAGAAGTAGTGGAACAGACTGAAAATTTATTTGCATACACTGAACATCAAAGGTATTTGCATGGACTGATCAAGAGAACTTGTCTAGTCTCATCATTTTCATAGACTGAAAAATTATTTGGAAAGAAGCATAACAAATTCCCACGGCCAAAAGATCATGAAATTGTCCATTCTAACTCAAACGAAATTATTTGCTCCACACAAATGTAATAGCCAAAGAAAATAACCATAATCGGATCAATAAAAGGTTGAATCGAACGAGAGATTTAGGAGCATGGAATCCGAACCTTGAAGGCAAAAATTTCACCCTCGAACGCACTCAAATCCCCCAATTCTCTATCGCTTCTGTCAACGCTGTCACCTCCGGCGCTGATTCCCTCTTCACCGTCAAGTCCCAGCCGAACTGCCTCACCCAGATATTGGCCCTAGCCACTTACTTTGCCTCGCCTTCGGCAACGCTGTCACCGCCAGCAATTATTCCCTCTTCTCCGTCAATTCTCAATCGCCAGGTACACGTGCTGCACCTGATACCATCGCCCCCGTCAGGCGCTCTTCCATTCTATGTTCTACCCAACCTAACTCATCTACGAGAACAAGGGATGATCAGTTTTTCCACCCATATAGTACTCTATTTCTTATTTATCAAATAATAGGTGTGCATATAATCAATTAACGCAGTATTCACGAATTGGATTGATACATTATATATTAATTTCTATTCAAAATTAAACCTCTAATATCTTTTCGACCTATAATTAAACATCTAATATCGAACGGTCAGATATAAATGAATGAAGGGGCACATCCACACACACATACACAAAAAGGAACCATATAAGTGGAGGAAGAATCGAGGGATAGTACATGGGAGAGCAGAAACAACGAGAGGGTGCGAGAGAGCAGTTCACCGAAGATACGCCGAGGAGCGAATAGGAGGGAGAATAAGTCCGGATGTGAAAGCAAGCAGGTACAGTTCAAGCACCACTTTAAGCAAACAACGGAAGTTTGTCCGAGACCCAAGTCGGCGCTTGAGTTGGGCTTCACCTGGATTCGATCTGCAATGAATTCTTTGGGGCTGCTACTACAAATGTTTTTGTTTCACAATTACTCCTACTACAATTTTACCAAAACAGCCAACAAAAACTGATCCAATTAGTAAAAAATCAGCTCATAACCTATAAGATTATGAGTTTGAATCTCATTTTATGGGCCTCGAGCTATGCCTTAGCCTTGGTGAGTCATCGAGACTCAACTCATCTAAATTTTTTTATACTAAAAAAAAAAAGTTACCAAAACAAAAACGATTCTTATATTTATTATTATTAGAGAATTTGACATAATAAATATAAACAATTTAATTTAGATGTTTTTGAATAAAAAAACTTAAAAGGAATTTTTGCAAGAATAAAAAAATTTGCGCAAAACTTAAAAAAACATACTCCTCCGGTCCTAAATGTAAGACCCTTATACGTGTATAAGGGTCTTACATTTAGGACCGGAGGAGTATTATTTATAATTTATAAATAATATAACTCCTTATAAATTATATATTTATGATTTCATATTGTTTTATTGATATTTATATCGACTCGTTGATATCAATATATCATATATACAACATATTTATAAAAGACGAAATATATAAGAATTCACGATATTTATTTGTTAACTCATCAAAAAATTGCCTCGTCGGTAAAATTATATAATCCACAAACAAGATACTTTATTGAATATATTAATGATCAAATCACGTATTCAGTTCTTTTTTTTTTTGTTAAATATTTTTTCTGTATAATATATCAATTTATTTCAGTTTTTTATTTAAATCCGAAAACTTAATACTTTGGGCGATGATGATAAAACAATATTTGATTTTAAAAAGTTATATACCACTTGTCTACAAATAGTTACATACAACTTCTGGAACAATCACTATAAATATACAAATATTTCAATAATCTATGAATTCATACATTAAAAAGTGTCTATGGTGGTCTTTGTTTTTTGTGCGAATGTATATGGTGGTCTTTAAACAGCCATTAGACAGAAGTTTTTGCATCAAATTTGGATAGATAATAGATTAACTATACACAAGTGATTGTTCATGTACTGAACCTAGTCTTTAAACATGTTATCATCAGTACATAAAGATCACAAAGACAAGCTAGAATGCTAGATATTCTGATAAGTTTCCATGAAAACAAACACGTGCTGAGGTGTTCTATCTATTTGCCTCCAACGTGAGAGATCTACAATGTGATCAACCATTATTGCCCTGCTGTCTTAACCTATGAAACTTACGGGAGCATTTATTTACATGTCTTCAATACATACGAGTATTGGGTTTGAAATTTAGATCTTCCATAAAAATGAACAAAAATAAAATCCACAACCATATTGCAATTCCCTCACTAGTATCAGTCAAGTAATCATCTTGCTCGCCCCCGCCTAACTGATAGCAAAAACTTGTAGCTTTTGAGCAAGTGTGAATTGGAGAGAGAAGAGAAAGACAGTGATAAATTGATGATGAAACTCAATCATGATATCCAAGAAATTTATGAAGCATTATGATTCAGGAAAGTAACAAGAAATTTGCAGTCTATGTGCAGAATTGACCGATGATAAAGGTAAATAGAGGATTATCTAAGAACTATCAGAAAGCCAAAGATGAAGTTCCACAACTGAATCTTGATTGATAAAAGCAAGAGTAAGTCATTTACATCAGCCTTCTAGACTGCCTTCAAGCCACACATTCAGCTCAAATCAGTCTCGAGGGCACCTCCCCAGCTTATATGCAGACGGCAAAAAGATGCTTTATCAATCTCTAAATCTGTATCTAAAACCTCCTTTGTTTTCCCCACTAGAAACATAAAGCAAATAAAGAATAGAGGAAGTTCAAATCATTGATTTACATAGAATTGATTATTGTAATCTAATGATTTGTTGAATAAACTTCTATCTTTGCGACTTTCTGACTATCAATGGAACTGTGAATCTCCTCAAGTCAGTTCAGTAATTAGCAATTACTTGCCACTTGAATAGCTCTCATTTCCCTTACCCGTTTCCGCCTATATACAATCAAGTTCTCCAGCCTATTCTCCTTTCTCATTGGTTCAGCCATCACCTTTTTGGGAAAATCTTCTTCCTTTGTCGGCTGGCAGCTCTCAACCAAACCACCATCTCTTGGAATCTCTCTATCCCCCAATCTATCTTCTGAAGAATTTTCAGCTGTCGTTACTGTCTGCAGATCTTCTGTTACTACCTGAAGAAGTTCCATAGGTACAGCAGCCGGATCGAGCTCCAAGCAACCTGGAGGGGCATTATGACCATCTTGACTAGTAAGTGAGTAGCAAGGAACCTGGTGTGAGAAACGAAACATCTCCTCCCTTGGAATATTCTTGATCTTCCTTGAATCCTCATGCCGGTGAAATACTGTCTTGAAACCAGCAACTTTAACGAGTGGAGCAACATTCACACCTTGTTCCTCATTGTAGTCTTCAAGCACTTCCACCATGTCATACTTTTGTACAATTTCATCAGGAGTAAGTTCATTCCAATCAAGGGACCAATTTCTATATAAAGCCCAAACATCACCCTTCTTGGGATATATTTGTATGACCCCTCTAGTGCCTTTGTTCCACTTAACCCTGTGAGAGAAGGAATTAAGAGAGCCATTCAATTCACGCTTACCAATCCAGAAATCCCCAGAAGTCTTTGGAAAGCCATAACTCACCCACTTGATTGGGGCCAATTCATCATTGCTTTTAGAGTTAAGCCAACTCATCCTCATTTTGAAAGGTTTGCGGGATATCACACTATGAATCATAGCATAGTAGCGAGGCATGCCATCATCATCATCATAAGCAGCCCAAACCTGGTTCTCCCCAAATGATTTCTCTGTTCGGTCATGATCAAAATTATGGAAGTCAGGGTCTGGAACACTCATAGACAGAGAATCTACCGCCTTGAAAGTAGACACCTCAGGACCAACAGAGGAAGACTTTTTGGCTGTGGTCTCAGAATCAACAAATCCTTGAATTTTTTGCACACCATTCCTAGACATTTCATTGTCCTTCTCCTCGGCTTTCTGATCATGTTTTCTTGAATTGTCTATCTTCCTTGACACATAAGCAAAATTCAATTCTTTAAGCTTGCTACGAATATCATTCCTAGCCTTTTCCATCAACACCATCTTTAATTTCTGCTGGGACATATCCCTCATACCATTACGTCTATAGTTTCCCACAGGATTAACCCTCCCTGTCCCAGTATTACCCTTCAAAAATCCACATTCACCACCTAATCTTATTCCTTCGGTTTGAGATGCCATTTTGGTTTCCACCTCTCTTTTATCGCTATCATCTCTATGTTCATCAATGCTCCTTTTTTTCCATGGCCTATCTTCTTTCAGGATTGTATTTGAAACAAAAGAAGACGGTTGAGAAGCTGAATTGTAAGCAGTTGTCTCAGAAGCATGAGTTTTCCCACAATGGGCTTTTCCCATCATGGTAGGAGGTGATCTATCCTCACGCCCTCTCTTCAAATTCTCAGATGTGACCCCAAAATCACTTGGAGCTTTGGCAGCAGAAAAAGCTGATCTTGGAATATTGTGAGTACCACCAGGCATAGTGAAAGGCTGGGACCCATATAAATTTTCTAGTGAGTTAATGGAAGAAGTTGGTGTCCTTCCAGAAACATAACCATTCTCTTCCATTCTTGCCGATTTAAATTTCTTCTTCTGTCTCTCTGCATGCAGGGCATTGCGGTACATAGGTGGTTGTGGTGTCTCCCTGGCCAAAAAGGGCTTATGACAACAGTTGCACATAAGGTTGCAGTTGAGATAAACTGTAGGGTACTCAAACTGTGTTCTGCAAGCACCACAAGTGGTCCAGAATGATTGCTTCAATGACACAGGGGGTGCTGGAGTAGGATTTGGATAAACGGAAGTTGCATGGTCCCTAGCCTTCCAGTTAGCCGTATTGAAGATATTAAAGAAACCATTCTGACTTTCTGGTACAGAAGGCTTCCCATTTGGAACTCCTTGAAATGAACCCCATAAGTTGCGCCTTTGGTCATAGAACATTCTCTTGCCTTTATCAGAGAACAAACTCCAAGCCTGAGAGATAAGTTTAAAAGCCCCGTCAGAACCAACTGATTTGTTTTTGTCAGGGTGCAGAGCAAGAGCCATTTTCCTATAATGCCTTCGAATTGTTTCATCATCAGCCAAGGGATCCACTCCAAGGACATTGTACCAATCAATTTCTCCATTTATTCTTTTCTCAGCAGAGACATACACCTCAAGAGTCGCCAACAGTTGAGAAAGACCACCAAGACCTGGATACAAGTCTTGAGCTTTCAAGGCAAATCTTTTTGCCCCAGCAAGGTCCATCTCCAGAAACTTCTTCTCTGCAAGCTCCTTAGCCCTAAGGGCATCATCCTTATTACATTCCATGCTCGCTAATTTGTAGCTCCAGATGACCAAAATTCCACATGCACAGAATAGAAGTGCCTCATTCAAATATAGAAGCCTAATAAATCAAATAAATAGAGCAACTTTAGCAACAAAGGAAAGAAAATTTAAACAGATAATGGAACAAATGCCTTTTAATCAATTCAATAACAGAAATAATGATTAAAGAAAACCGAAGTAATGTCTAATGCTTCTCTTAGTTCATTAATGCAGAGCCATTATGTAAACAACTAAATGATCAATATCTAACATATTCAACCATTCAACATTGAATTTCCACAATAATCATAACATAATTTCATGACAAGAGATTTCCCATGAATTTTTGCATATGGATCCCTGCCAATTACAAACTAAAGAAAGACCAAACCAAACCCTTTCTAGTCAATTAAAAACTTTAGTTGCATGAACAAAGGCCTTTTACTCAAGTGAAAATCATAAACAATGATCAAAGAACACCAAAATTATGTCCTTTTTTTTTTCCATTAATACAGAACCATAACGAATGGCTAAATGATCAAGTAAAACACAAGATTTAACTTATTCAACTACTCCTACCAAATTTCAACAATCAAAATAGATTTTTCATGGATTTTCACTTCTTGGATACCAATCAATCAAAAAATATAGAACGACCAAATCAGACACACTTTGATGAATCAAAACCTTAACTTGTACATTTTACTGCAAGGAAAAACATTAAATATGGTAAATTTTCAAAATGTGAGACAACACAACAGTTTTTGGTGACTTGCTTTACGTTTGGCATAGAATTCAGAGCTTGCTTCTCTTTGAAGCGAACGCTCGCTCATTCTGCTATCCCAATGAACAAAGTATAAGGGAAAAGGACCAAATAAACATCTCATCTCAAATAAATAATTTCCTTGAAGAGTGATTTTTTGGCCAACATTCTTTGAAGAGTATCTTGAGCAAATCCACTATCTTTAACGATTTTAAAATTCAACCAAGTCTGTGCAACATTATAGAATTTACGTTGAACATGCCCAATTTGAGTGTCTTTGACTTTAAACCCTAGATAATATCTATCATCAGCAAACTTCATAACCGAACAGCCATAATAGCGACGATAATCCATTCTAGCAGAGAGTTAATGTAAAGAGGGATGCAAAAATTCACCTGTTATCAGCGATTTGATATGCAGTAATGCCATTGATAAGCTTTAATCACAATTCTGATTTTGCGCCCGCTTACACCACCGAGATCACCCTCATCAATTAAAAAACCCAACTTTCGAGTGCCTTTTGTGAAAAACCGAAATCCCTTTAACCCTGAGCAAGAGAAAGATACGCTCTGTAAAAAATGCATAAAATTGCATTGGGATGTATCTAATATTTATAGCATGGCAATACCTTGTAAATTCTAGTTTTACATTATTTTTGGCCGGAGTCAAAAAAACCCAACTATGGTTATATTTTAACCATGGTAACCGGCATTGTAACAGTTGCCAATTCCCTATATTAGGCAAGGATATTGGGGGAGTATTTGGAAGATGCATGTATTTAATGTTCGTTCATCCCATTTAAAACTCATATCAAATTCTCATTGGTAAAACATTAAATCAATTGTATGCTAATTCCATTCTTTCAATTTAAAATATTCATAGATTCCCATTATGAGAAAATATGCATCATATTATTAGCTGCTTCCCTGTACATGTATTTTACACCCAATACGTTAATATATGAGGGGCATTTAAGGACATCCAAGAAGAATATAATGATATTCCTTTGAGGAATATATGGTACAGTGTACCATGTATCCATAATCCATCTATTGTTTTTGCTGATAACTTTGTTTCCTTGGCAGTGCATGACACAGCAGGCGTTTGTTCTGTTATTCATTCAGATTGCGAATGATTACAGTACATCAGTCTGGTCTCGAAAATTTTAAAATTTAACCCCAAAAAAGTGATGATAATCGTTTGAACCACAAATTCTGAAATGTATTTAAAGGTCACCAAGTTTTTTTTTTTCCCTTTTTTAGTCGTGTTGTTGAGAAAGAAGAGCTCTGTACCCTTATTAATATTCTTTAGTTCTTTCTCTGAATTTCAGTTCAATAGTTGAAAGATCAGCAATAAATGACAGATCTTGACTTGAAATTTTGATCTTTCTATGCATTGCACCTTAATCTTTCGAGGCAACTTACCGGCATTGGAGTAGAGATTCTGATCATTTTCCGTTGAACCAAACAAGTGTTCTATGTATTTTTCCTCCACAGAAAGAAACCTACAATGTGGTTACTATTGTGACTGATCTTGCGAAGAAGAGCTCTGTACCCTTATTAATGTTCTTTAGTTCTTTCTCTGAATTTCAGTTCAATAGTTGAAAGATCAGCAATAAATGATGGATCTCGACTTAAAATTGTGATCTTTCTATGCACTGCACCTTAATCTTTTGAGGCAACTTACCGGCACTGGAGTGAGAGATTCTGATCATTGTCCATTGAACCAAACAAGTGTTCTATGTATTTCTCCTCCACAGAAAGAAACCTACAATGTGTTTACTATTGTGACTGATCCTGCGCTGTTCTTTTCTTCCCCCAGAGACCTCTGCACTATTGATGTTCCAGGCTCTCACATAAAATATGCTTCTGCAATGAAATTCATGTTCTTACTATGACATCCACATTTTCACCAATGCAATTAATATTATTTAACCTGAAAAGTTTATGAGTAGATTATATTATACTCTCCGATTACTCTGGCCTCAGGAGACAAAGGAGCTCTCCTATACTGTACTGTCAGTAGGATCTCTCTCTTTGGCCAATTTCATGTTATCTACATACTGTAGTGGAATCATTTATGAGAAAGGAAAGGTGAGGTTTGCTTTCTGACTTGCCTCTCCAGAAAACTTTACCCATGGAGAAAATCTTAGAGATTTCTAAAACACAGGACTCGATGGGGTTCATGCATAAGCAATGAGACAACTTATCTTACCAAAAATTTAAAAATTTGAACTTCTCATACAATAAGGCTTAAACTCCCAAATCTCAACTACCTCAGGATAGTGAACAAGATTCAATACCTTCTTGATGAAACAAAATTGACAGGGTGTGAAGTACTGGCATTATCCCAAAAGTAAAGGAATTCCATCAACAGAATAATCATGCGTACCGCTAGCAGTGTGAATAGGTAGTTCAAGAACATCTAGAAGATCACAAAACCCTGACAAATTACTTGTATACATACAGCTTTTCTTACATAAAATGGTGTAAATTTTGATCTTACAACTTTACGCTTATGGATCAAATCTGGATTGCTCCATATGTGTGCACTTATATACCTCATACACAAGTATTTCTTCACAATTTCCCAGTGGGAAAGCACTCATAAAACTATTGTTATTATTAACACTGTCATAAAGCAAAGCTTGACATGCATTAGAAAGGTCAAAATGCCTTCTTCATTGACTCGAATTGTAGCCACTGTCGGCAATCTTCAATAGACAAATCTTCTGGTACACTGTGGACTGTGAGGAAGAAAAGAATATAAAGGCAAAAAACTCAAACTTGATCTTCACCAGGCTTGCTTGAAGATCACATCTTCTCTTCTACTATGTATTCCAGCCTGACTTTAACTCTTGTTGCGTCCTTTTTTATCTTCTGATGATAGAATAGAAGAGAGTCCATTTCAGCAGGCTTGTCATCTTCAACCTCACAGAGAATATACCTGCTTCTTGTCAACATGATGCAACTATATACAAAGCGTTTCAAATCAAGCAAATTTTTAAGGGTGTGTTTGTATCAATGTCTTGGACACCAAAATGCACGATCCAAATGGCAAACAGTGATTTTTTAAGGAAAAGTAGTGTTTGGTTTAACGTTTATACAATATGACTTTTGATCTCAATGAATTTATGGAAAAAGCAAATCAATCTTGCTTTTACCAGTGGGAAGTAACAGTGTGGTAAAAAGTAGTATTTTTCAATTTCTTCCTAATAATAAATTAATTCCTTTATTTTTAATGATTTTATTTTCAATATTTCTTTTACAATTGTCACATTAAATACATTGAATATAAAAGCTAGTTAATTAATTTGGAAAAATTAAGAAAGTTAAATTAGTTATTTATAATAAATAGCTGTTGTTTATATTTAGGATCAAATTTAATGGCAAATTAGCTTTTTATTATGGACTTGAGGTAGTATTACTTAACAATATTCAGATCTTTTTTAGTAATTTTATATATAAACTAACTTTTTTATTAATTATCCAAACAAGTTATAGTTTCTTAAACTGATTTTTTTACAAAAGTCAATCCAGACAAAGTCATATTATATTATTTGACTTTTTCCAGTTACTTCTCCCACTATAATCCAAACACACTCTAACTTGAAAAGTCCCATTAGGCAGCCAGCAGAACAAGACCAAAACAATAGGTAAAAGAGAAGCCAAAGCTTGCTGTATGATAACTCATGTAACATTAACGTCAGTATTCTATTTGGGAAAATCGACATCTTTAGTTGCATTAAGTAGCCAACCAAGTCATTTATTATCAACAAATTCCATAGTTAAAAGGGGGGAAAAATCTTCCTGGGCCTCCAGAAGATGACCATCATGAATCTTGGCATGTTGAAACACAATCTCTTCATAATTAGCAACGAGAAATAAAGCTATTGAGAAAAATGATATTTATGATCTTTGATGTTGAGAATCATAATTAACTTATATCTCTATTCAGAACCAGACCATACTAGTTAATACAGCAATGTCAATCTTTCAAAGAATGCGTATCGAAATTAAAAAGAAAACACACCAATCTTAGAGTACTTTTAAAAAAAATCATAAAAAAATTAAAAACTGTACCACTTTTTTTCATGATATATTAAAATGTCACTCATTTTATTTATAATCTAATAATAAAAAATAAGAAAAAAGGATTTGGGAAGTGAGAAAATTTTAAAGAGCAGTAGAGGGAATGGTAGACATCCCAAATCCAACATGACTAATAGTTTTCTCCAAATCTATCCAAATGCGAAGAGAAATTTAGAGAAACTCATTTTCTATCACACTTTTCTTTCCTCTCACTTTTCTTTTATAACGAGACAGTTAAAACATATTTCTCTGTAGTTTTCTTTTTCTTTCCTTCCTTATACAAAGAGGGGATTATGGGGTGAAGGAAAGGAAGGGATGAATAGTACTGTATGTCTGTATGGACGACTTGCCGCCCTTTTTCTCCCAATTTAATTTCTTATGTTGTCGGTTTTCCTCTGCTTTATATAGGCACTAGGTATTATTTGCTTTACCAATACAATTTTTTTAAAATTTTCGTTTATTTTATGTTTTTCATTTAATGACCAAGACAATTTTTCCAATCTGCAATCTAATCATCATCAATGAGAATTTTTTTTTTCCTGACCTAAAACCAAATATCATGCATTTTTTAATTTATTTTTTTGTTTTTTTTCTTACAGACTGAAAACAATATTTCCTTACTCGAAACCCAATCATCGTTAATAAGACTTTTTAAAATATTAAATTTTATTTTTAATTGTTATCTATTGCAAATAAGACTTTCACGGGGAAGAGTTTGGACCTTTTTTAATTTTATTTTTAATCATTTATTGCATCGGAGATTTTTTTTTGTCAAATTCAAATTGTAAGAAAGAATCAAAAAAAAAGTTTTAATATTTAATTGTTATTATTTATTTGTGGAGGCTTGGACAAATTAAAGTGTTAATAATGATTGATTGAAACAAGAATAGTTTTGTAATTGGAAACTATGATAAAACTGAAACGTCAAAATGGAAAGACTTGACGTCCAAACTTATTTCAAGACCTCAAGAACTTATTTCAAATGGCGGTATGATGCTTTAAAGTAATTTTTTAATTGCAATTTATAAAATATGAGATAAATATATTTAAAAAATTTTATTTTGAATTAGGTGAAAATGCAGTAATGAAAAGAAAGTCACATATATAGAGATGATGATGAACGATATATACAAATCTGATGACATTATATTAAGAATTGAACGACCCAATTGAAGATGATACTAAGCAATTGACATGCTTCTCCCAAAGGAACAAAGATAAAATATATGTTAGGCTTCTTTCAAAAAAAAAAAAAAAAGGCTTCCTTAGCTCGTCCTCTTTTTTATTAGGCATCACCTAAGGTTTTGTATTTCTTTTTTAAATTTTCGTTTTTGCATTTTCTCACAATAATAACTCAGCACCAAATCATCATCAATTTATAATTTTTAAAATTTTTCCACAATGAGAGCCAATCATAAAAAATGACAGATTTTTTTTAATTCTTGATTTTTCTTATTTACCTCCTCAATAATTCACATCACGTTTCTTAATTTAGAGATCAATTAGTATTTAATCTCATCTTTTCTTTTATTATCATTTATTTTAAAGAAGAGATTTTTATTCGATTTCTTTTATTTACCAAAAAATGAGACTTTTCAAACTTGACTTCCAAAAAAGAATCAAGAAATTTTTTTATTATTACTTTTTATTGTTTGATTTATTATTTATTAATGAGGTGAATAAAATAGGTGTTCACTAGTTACCACTACAAATCATGACTTAAATGAAATTTTTTTTTTAATTTTTGATTCCGCACCACGTTTCCTAATTGGAAGGTGAGTTATCATTATTTAATCTCATCTTTCCTTTCTTTTATTGTCATTTATTGCAAAGAGTATATTTTAATTGATTTTTTTTATTTAAAAGGAAACTTTTTAAACTTGACCTCTAAGAAAGAATTATTGGTTGTCCGATTAATCATTTATTAACGAGCAAGACAAAACAGTGTGCTTACACTTGAGAGTATTACTTGCTGGCTAACACATCCCATTAACAAATCATTGCAGCAGCCAGATACTGAGAAATCATGGCTACGCTTTATTTGGCTCAGTCAATTCACGTCCCTCGCTTAGAAGTGCCCTGGCAAAGGAATGGTCGCGAGCGAAAGGGACCAAGATCAGTTAAAATGATTTCCACTTCACGTTCATCATCTGGTTTGTTAAGAACGTCGGATTTCCCAGCACTCCGAGCTGTTACTCCTTTGGACATCACAAACACAATGCTGAGACCTGTAAAAGATTTTTATTCCGAGGTGTCGTCTTTTGCAGCTTCTTCTTCTACGCGAGAAAGAAGGGCCAACAGATTTGTACCAAAAGCCATGTTTACGAAGAAAGCAGTCAAAGCAATTGTGCTTTCACAGGAGGAAGCAAAACGTGTTGGTGACAATTTTATTGGAACGGAGATGATTCTATTGGGTCTCATTAGAGAAGGCACTGGGATTGCTGCTAAGGTTCTCAAGTCTATGGGGATCAAGCTTAAAGATGTACGTTTGGAGATTGAGAGGATAATCGGAAAGGGTTTTGGTAATTTTGGATTTCATGCTGCTGCTTCTGCTGATGAAATTCAATTTTCATCTCGAGCAAAGCATGTATTGGAACTCTCACATGAAGAAGCCCGCCAACTTGGTAGTTTTTGTTAAGACCTTCATCTGTTTTTTATGTGATCGATCAAATTACTTAATCTTTCCCAGTTTCTCCATCTTCTTCTTGTCTTCCTATGAGTATACTACCAAAATTTTAAGTGAACCATTTTGATGATGAAGATTCTATTCGGTGTTTTTATATTTTATCTTACCTTGCCGTAAAATTTAATCTTTACTTCATGAGAATTTCAGGACACGATTATATTGGATCTGAGCATTTGCTTTTGGGCCTCCTTCGTGAGGGCGGAGGTGTTGCTGCATGTGTTCTTAAAAACCTGGGTTTTGAGCCAACTAATATTCGCACACAGGCTAGTTTCCTTCCATCCTGTGTTTTGTTTTTTATCTGTTGATCTAATAAATCTTAGCTTAGTTATAAAATCTTAGTTTATGGGCACAGGTTATTCGCATGATTAGTGAAAATGTTGACAATGCCACTGCTAGTGATGAGGGCCCAGAAATGCCAACTTTGGGGGAATATGGTACCAATTTGACAAAGCTGGCTGAACAGGTAATTAAAAGTCTTTGTACTATTTATTGATGACTCGTGATATGATGTTTCAATGCGTAAATGCCTTATTATTTCAATTCTTCATTCCCTCCTTTGCAGGGAAAATTGGATCCTGTTGTTGGAAGGGAGCAACAAATTGAACGTGTCATTCAAATTTTAGTTCGTTTTAAAAAAAATAATGCTTGTTTAATTGGAGAACCTGGTGTTGGGAAGACAGCTATTGTCGAGGGTCTTGCTCAACGGATTGTAAATGGCGATGTACCTGAAATTCTACATGGGAAGAAGGTGATCTATTATGTCTAATTTTTTAGTAACTAGTTAGTCATATATTTGTGTCTTTCCCATTACTGTTTTCTAATAGATTACTCTCTTCTGAATAATTTAGGTTATAAGCCTTGACATGAGTCAACTTGTTGCTGGAGCTAAGTATCGTGGAGAGTTTGAGGAGAGATTAAAGAAACTAATGGAGGAAATCAAACAAAGTGATAAGATAATACTTTTCATTGATGAAATGCACACTCTAATTGGAGCTGGAGCAGCTGAAGGAGCAATTGATGCTGCAAATATATTAAAACCAGCTCTTGCAAGAGGTGAACTGCAGGTAATATATTAGCGCAAAATGGATTTAATGTTGAATGCATGGGAATGAATATATATATATATATATATATATATATTTGCTTTATTTTGGCTTTTGCTTTCCAAACTTGTCTAATTTGAAAATAATAAGTACTCCTCCTATCCTTGATATAAAACATAATTAACTACTTTGAGTATATCAAAAATATTAGTTATATTGGTTAATATAATATGTTTTTTTCTAAAATACCCTAAGCATCTCTCTTAATTCTTCCCCTTCCTCTTCTACTTGATTATTGTTAGAAAAATATCAATAAGATTAATTTGAAAAAAAATTGATAAACATGTTAAATAGGTATTATATATAAGATAAACATTAGCTCTCTAATTAGCTCCTATATTAAGGATCGAGGAGCAGTAACCAACATTGAGGTTGCAATATGAAATCCCATGGATAGTTACAATTATTGCTGGCATGTAATAAGAATTAATAAAATAATAAGTAGGGTTTGGAATATGAAATCCCAAAACAACTCTAATCTCAGAATGCCAGATGATCAAGTTAGACCAAATGCCGATGGAGTTCTTGGCAAGCCTTAATCCCTTACTAAATCGGCCATTAATAAGTAGTTAGATGTATCCATTGATTCTTATATTGAAATTATACTAAATGATTATACTCCTCCGGTTCTTAATATAGAACCCAATTGTTGAATGGGTTTTGATCCTAAATATAAGACTCATTTATCATATTTATCAATTTTCTCTAAATTACCCTTATGAACACTCCATTAACCATAATCAAGTAGAAAAGAAAGAGAGGGTATTAAGAAAGATGATTATGGTATTTTAAGAAAAACGTGTCATATTTTTTATAATTAACTAACATAAATTTTTTAATTTAATCAAATTAGTTAAATGGGTCTTATACTAAGGATCGGATGAGTATGTTTGATGATTTGTCCAGTGCATAGGAGCGACAACTTTAGATGAATACAGGGAACACATTGAACAAGATCCAGCATTGGAGAGGCGATTCCAGCCGGTTAAAGTACCAGAGCCTACGGTGGATGAGACAATACAAATTTTGGAAGGACTTAGAGAACGTTTTGAAATTCACCACAAAGTCCGATACACTGATGAAGCCCTTGTAGCTGCTGCTCAGTTGTCACACCAATATATCAGGTTTGTTGCAATTTATTTTCTCTCTCTCTTTTTTCTTTCTTTCCCCTTTTTTTTTAATTTTCGATGGAGGATACAAGGCTGCATATGTTAAAGCTGGAATGAAGTTGGCGGTACAATGTTAATAGTTCCCTTTCTCTTTTTAAATTTCATCTCCATAGTGTAACTGTGCAGTATCTTCAGCTTAATTAGATGCTCCTTGGAGCTCTCCTTCCAGTGTATCTTAAGCAAGTGATTCTTGGTTTCTAAATAATTGTGCCCCATGCAGTGATCGGTTTCTGCCAGACAAAGCTATAGATTTGGTTGATGAGGCTGGATCCCGAGTTCAACTTCGACCTGAACAGGTATCTTGTGTATTTTTACCTTTGCTAGCAGTTCTTCTATTGATTAGTTTTCTGTCACTTGAGATGGGTTTATGTTATTCTAGTTACCTGAAGAAGCTGGAGAGCTTGACAAGGAAGTCAAGCAGATTGTGAAGGAGAAAGAAGAAGCTGTCCGCAACCAAGACTTTGAAAAGGTAATCTTTTATTTTAAGACTACTTGTATTATTTTGGTGAAACCGATGTTCTGAGGGAGACTCTCTGGCTTCATTACAGAATAGAATAGTGATTTTCTTTAAAATTTTGAAGAACAGCCCAACTAGTTTCGCGATAACTTAGAGTACAGTATCAACATTTTCCTTGTTTTAATCAAGTGATGATTTTATATCTCCTAATAATTTGGATTCTTGTTTAGTCAATGATCATTGGATTGATGGCATATGAATTTCTGAGCAGGCGGGAGAGCTACGAGATAGAGAAATGGATCTCAAAGCACAGATCTCAGCACTTGGAGAGAAAGGCAAGGAGATGAACGAGGCTGAGAATGAGTTAGGAGTTGGAGGTCGAGTTGTCACTAAAGCTGACATCCAACACATCGTCTCTACCTGGACTGGTATTCCTGTTGAGGAAGCCTCAACGGATGAATCTGACAAACTCCTCAAGATGGAAGAAAACCTACAAAAGAGGGTCATTGGTCAGGATGAAGCAGTGAAAGCCATTAGTCGGGCCATCCGCCGAGCCCGGGTGGGGTTGAAGGACCCGACCCGTCCAATTGGCAGCTTCATATTTTCTGGTCCAACTGGTGTAGGCAAGTCTGAGTTGGCAAAAGCATTGGCTGCATACTACTTTGGCTCTGAGGAAGCCATGGTTCGGCTTGACATGAGTGAATTTATGGAAAAGCACACTATTGCCAAGCTCATTGGTTCCCCTCCTGGATATGTCGGTTACACTGAAGGTGGTCAACTAACTGAGGCAGTTAGGCGTCGGCCCTATACTATTATCCTCTTTGATGAAATTGAGAAAGCTCATCCTGATATATTCAACATGATGCTTCAAATTCTTGAAGACGGAAGGCTAACAGACAGTAAGGGCAGAACTGTGGACTTCAAGAACACGCTTCTTATAATGACTTCAAACATAGGAAGTACTGTAATTGAGAAAGGTCACTATGATGAGAAGGACAATAGTTATAATGGTGTAAAGAGTTTGGTGACTGAGGAATTGAAACAACACTTTAGGCCAGAGTTTTTGAACAGGTTAGATGAAATAATTGTGTTCAAGCAACTTACAAAGCTGGAGGTGAAGGAGATTGCTGATATAATGCTGAAGGAAGTGTTTGACAGGTTAAAAGGCAAAGATATTGAAGTTCAAGTCACAGAAAGATTTAAGGACAGAGTGGTTGAGGAAGGTTATGATCCTAGTTATGGAGCCAGGCCTCTAAGAAGAGCCGTAATGCGACTTTTGGAGGACAGCATGGCGGAGAAGATGCTTGCTAGAAAGATCAAAGAGGGTGATTCTGTTATAGTGGATGTCGATTCTGATGGGAATGTGATCATACTAAACGGAAGCAATGGTGCTCCAGAGACCTTGGTAGAGCCCGTAGCTATATAAAATGGGGATCTTAAACCTTAGTTATGGTTTTTTTTTTAAAGTAAATATTACACATGGTCGGTTTGTTTTACTCTTAGATGGACCACTGCCACTGGCTGTCATGTGTTGGGATTTTGCGGTGAGAGAATGGATTTTTGTAAAAAATTATTAAAAATCATGATTTTAAGAAGAATAGATTTTTTTAATAAAATTAATAATATTTGGATGGTGTTTTCTAAAAGGTGACATTGATAAAAGTGAAAATTTCTGTATGATTGTAATCAAAATCACTTTTTTTTTTCATATATAAATACTAATAAGAATATAAGCTAACGTGATATTTATATAAATTACAAACAGAAGGAAGTATTTTCATACTTCATGTATTTCCGACAGCATATTATTATTCCCACAGTCAGAATTGATGATCCATAATGTGATCTTAATAACTTGACTATAAATTATACCATAGTTTCAGCTGAATAATTGATTTTACGATGAGGGGGATGTTTGTATGATTTTTGCCAAAATAAAGTTTTACCATATAGAATTTATGATCCACTTGCTTCTGACAAGTGAACTTGCAGCAGATATACATTATCGGTGATGTGATATGATCCCAGTTTTGAAGTATGGATGTGGGGTAATCTTATTCAAACTAAGTGAAAAAAAAAATTACATTTATAATTATCTTTTATTGATAAAAAAAAAAAAGGATTGGGAGGGGGGTAGCCTCATCATCTCATGAGTTGAGATGGCACGCCCAAACTTATATGAAATTTGAGATGAACGCGTGCGTGGCTGACATGTAAGTGATAATTTTACAAATAATGACGCTTTTTGGTTGAATTAATTATCCAAGTTAATACAAATCAGGATGCATTACTTACAACTTTACAAGACCTACCAGTAAGACGCAAACCCGTGGTTTTTTTTACCCTCATGAATTTAATTTTTATTTATAGTTTTGGTGTTATTTAGAAGGATTAATATAATTTTTGTCCCATCAAGTTTTAAACTACAACATTTAGACCCTAGTAGAGAGGTAAAATGGTTTAGATTTCTATTAAACTAAAAATTATACACTTTCAGTTCTAAATATAAAACTCGTACACTACAAAAAAGAGATCTTATATTTAAAGTAGGAGAAGTATAATTTTTAGCTTCAAGTTTTTATTTACACTATAAAATAAATGTTATATTTAAGATTCGAAGAAGTATTAATAAATAAAGTCAGTCATTTCTCCAGGAAAAGAAAGGGAAGAACCTCATTTGGTTGGGTATCATTTTGAATGAGAACATCACTCGGGACCGCATAGCGCAGTGGATTAGCGCGTCTGACTTCGGATCAGAAGGTCGTGGGTTCGACTCCCACTGTGGTCGGTCGGTTTTTTGCAATTATTATTGAATCAGTGAATCTTAGGGTGTGTTTGGATGAAACCAAACTATAGTTTGAAGAATAGATTTTGTGAAAAAGTGATTTTGAGAAGTGTAAGTATTTGGATAATTGTTATTAGAAGTACTTTTTATATATACAAATTGGCATAAATTAATATGATAATTATAGAAAAATATATTTTATGATATATTTTAATTTAAAGGAATAAAATTGTTAATAATATATTTTTTATTAACATATATTAATAATATATAAGATAATATAATTAATAAATAATTAATATGTATATATATTTATAAGATATAAGATTAAATATATTTATAAAAAATATGTTTATAAAAAAAACAACAAGATACATATCCTATAGGCTCTCACACTCTCCCATTTTTCCTCCAAAAGTAAAAAATTTCTGTTTTTCTCAAAACCATGATTTTGAACCCAAACCATGGTTTTAATTTTTTTAAGAATGTTTCGCTAACATTTTTTCCAAACCATGGTTTGGGTCCCAAAACCATGATGTCAAACACACCCTTAGGGTTGTTTGGATGAAACCAAACCGTGGTTTGAAAAAGTGATTCTGGAGAATAGATTCTGGAGAAAATAGATTCTGTGAAGAATAGATTTTGTAAAAAAGTGATTCTGAGAAGTGAGAGTGTTTGGATAGTTGTTATCAAAAGCACTTTTTATATATACAAATTACTAAAAAAAAGACATGAGTTAATATGATAATTACAGAAAAAATAGATTTTATGATATATTTTAATTTGAAGGAATAAAATTGTTAATAATATGTTTTTTACCAACATAATTAATAATACATAAGATAATATAATTAATAAATAATTAATGTGTATATATATTTATAAAATATAAGATTAAATATATTTATAAAAAATATGTTTATAAAAAAAATAACAAGATACATATCATATAGGCCCTCACACTCTCCCTTTTTTCTCCAAAAGCAAAAAAATTTTGCTTTTTCCAAAACCATGGTTTTGGAGTCAAAACCATGGTTTTGACCCAAAACCATGGTTTTGGTTTTTGGAGGGGGTGTTTGGGTGACTAAATCCCCAAACCATGGTTTGGGGTCACCCAAACATACCCTAATCAATTTTGGATTTTTGGCCACCTCAGCCCGCAAAATCTTTCACCAAATCTTCGAATATTCTTGCTTCCCAAATCTGTGACCAAATGCTTTGAAAAACAAATAAGATTTTGGTTGCAAGAAGTTATAAGGAAAATCATTTTGGTTTTGACTACTCAATGGAAGGTCATATATTTACTTTATAATTTATTCAAGAGGCACCCCCAATCTTCAGATTTGTGTTGCGTAACTTCGTTCCAGTGAGGATGGAGATGGGAGAAGACGAGTCAGTAAGCAGCATTAGGTCAAGCTCCAAAACTACGCGGGAGCTGGCATTGGAGGGCCAGAAGCATCTTGAAGACACTATCGATCACGCTTTCCAGATCCTTTCTTCCATCAACCACGAGCTTTGTAATGCCACCTCGTGGTCCAATCCCTCTCCCATTTCTCCCTCTTCTGTCTCTAATGGCGTCGCGACGGCGGATTCACCTTCTGATAATACCGAGAATGCCGTCGGAGGTGGCGCTACTGGTGGAACCCTGGAAGATGCTCGCTTTCGGTATAAGAATTCTGTTAATGCACTCCGGGCCATTCTCGCTGCTATTCCCAACGCTCAGAAGGTACCATTACGAACCCTACTGTGCCTTTAAATTAATAATCTGCTGTCGCTGTTCTAGAAGGTTGGTGTTTCGTTGGATCAAGTTTTTCTTTTAATCAACTGCATGAATCTGAAGTCGTTGTGGGCAGGAGAGACTGCAATATCATTCAGTGAACACACTACAAATGACACTAACTCCATAACAATGTTAGTGGTCAAAGATATGACATTAGTAAAAACGTCTGATCTTCTTGAAATTTAGAAACTATTTTGATTGTGGTTCATGACACTAAAGAATATTATTACACAATAGAGTATGTAGCGAATGTTTTGTTTTCCCGGTTAAACTAACTCTTTTGGCATATAATAGGCGAAAGCATTTGACGCTGGCTCAGCTGCTAGCCCTTCGGAACAAGCTGAAATTGAGAATTTGGAAGAGCGAGCCTCTTGTCTAAGGAAGGTTAGTTGGAAATAACTGTATAAATTTCAAATTCTACACGCTGTCATGTTCTTTTTATTGTATGAACATTGGAATCGTCACTTTGGTCATAGGTTTTAGTTGATGGTTTCAAGATTTATTGATTAAAGTGCATGTAAAAGTCATCTAGTCTCAAGTGAATCTAACAATCTGCTTTCAAAAACGGTTTAAAAGCTAATGCTAGAATCGTTTAGCTTTGACGGTTACTGTTATTGACTTTCAATTTCAGACTCAATATGTTGACAATCTCATTGTTTGGGTTTTAGAGAGAAAAAAAAACTATACCACCATGTTAAACTATTTCTGTTTATAAATATAGGAGCTTGCCAACAAGAATATGCACCTGAAGATTCTCATGGATCAATTGCGGGATCTTATCACTGATATCTCCACTTGGCAGAGTCCTTGTTCAGTCTGAAGTTTGCGGCTTTGGGCAATAATACACATTCATTTTGAAGGTGGTGCGTTGCAATGGAAAAGTTAGGTCGAGGGACCAGCAAGTGCTAATAACGATTCTTGATATTTTAACTCTTGACGTCGCATTAATTGATCAAAGTTATGTTCTTAACCTTCTCCCTGTGCTTTTTCCCCCTCTTGGGATCAAATGTTTGAGCATTGGATGATGAGTTCTGCATCTGGATATCATGTTACCTAATATCGTATATGTTCATTCTGTGGATAAGGAATACTCTTAATATGCTTTCCTGAGTTCCTATTTCCAATCATGGTCTGACAATGCGCTTTCGTTGCAGGGACATGCCTTTTTTTTTTTTTTTTCCCAGTGGAATTCTGCGTGTTGTCTGCAGGCTGTATTCTGTTCTGTGACCCGATAGCACATGCTCACAAATACAGATCGCAATTTTGGAGGCGTAATTCTTGTTTTGGCTTAAGCCACGTTTGTTTAACAAACCCCCTTCACCAAAGAAAAAAAATACTCGGTAAAGCATTGCCTTCTGCTGAACTTGTTTTTGAGCAAAGATTGGTAACAATATTTCTCGCATGTTGAATATTGAATGCTGCATTTTTGCTTTGAGTACAAATGACTATGAAAATAAGAGTCAGTTTAGTTATCCAGAGCATGTTGCCTGTGGTGGCGCAGTTCGCAGCTTCAATACGTCCCGATTCAAAAAAAAAAAAAAAAAAAGCAGCGGTTAAGAACAGAGAAGCTCTTTAAAGTTGAGGAGGTTCATAAATGACAACAAAATCGCTCCCGATCGAATTAGTGAATGCTGCATATCTAACAGAACAAAGCAAATCTGCAGGTTGTTGACCCCCAAAAACAAAGCACTACACGATGGGTTGCGTCTCCAATTTTTGCTGATCATTTCCGTTTTAATTTTGCTCAAATACAAACCGAACTCCCTGAATATGGATCAAGCATCGTTGACTCTGATGAGTATTACAGTTGAGTTCTCTTGGGGCGTTTGGTATAAGGGGAGGGGGGGAGTAAGAAAGTTTCAGTGAGCTCCATTTAAAAAAATTAAAAAAGTAGAATTAAAAGCTTTTAACTTATGTTGCTTACTGTTTTATCTTGCATATTCTTTTTATCAAACTTTTATTAATTTACTTCTCCAATTTTTTAAATTCTAATTTTTTTAAAGTGAGTTCATAAAATTTTTCTGTTCTCTGCATTCATTTCCAACTCTCTCATACCAAACATAGGAATAATGCAAATGATAGTCAAAGATAGATGACAAACTCTCCTTGCGAATTTCTTGGGGCCACACAAGACTATAAAGTACTCTTAACAAACAAGGGGAAAATGATAACTAGAAAAAGAGAAAGCGAAAAAGTGATTGCTAATTTGCGACAATCACTTGATTTAATATTTTCCTTTTCCTCTTCCAATTGCAAAGAGCAGGATTTCAGCATCTCACACTTTCTTTCTATAGCTTTCAAGTATACCCTAAAATGATTACTTAGTTACATGACCCATCCTTAACTAGGTACAAACTTAGGCACAAACCATACCGGGATAATCTATTTTTCTTTTTCCTTTTAATTATGGGGTGAAGACCTGGTAGTGAGGGATGATCTCATACCTACAATGGCAGATTCATCCGCCCCTAGCTTGATGGCCTCTTTACTGGCTCTTATGAATCTTGAAACGGCTCCCTTCACATATCCATGAGCTTCCTTTACACTCATCTTCTTGCTCATTTCATCTGGGAAACTGCTCAAGAAGTGGTCCCCATTTAGAACAGCAGCCAGTTGGACTAACTCACTCTGAAACTCCGATAACCCACCATTTTCTTTTGCTTCACTGCTCCTCAGAGGAGTAACTTCTGGCAAAGTTTCTGCAACACAAAATTTCATGCTTTCTTTATCAGTTTATTCACCTCTAGCAATGGGAGATATGCTCTTAATGGTGACTGTCTAACTGATAATTCGCCTCCCACATCATTCAGTCAAAAATGATGTGTCTTTTTTTTCCCACTTGTTGCTTGCTATTTCTCCTCATAAATATACGAAAAAAGGAAATTTACCATATATTTATTAAACATCTTGATACAAAAAAACCATTTAAGTAAAAATCTACCCAAACGAGAATGTTTTTAACACAATTGACATAATTAGGTCAGGAAACGATTACCTGGGCAATCCGTTCTGGGTGAGGTTAACTCTGAAACAATACTCTCGAATGTGCCAGCCCATGCATCTCTGTGGGTTAAGAAATTAGAGGAAAGGTTGAACATCTTCTTAATGGTGGCAGGTATAGAAGAGTGCTCAAACTCTGAGTTTTGAGCTGGTCCTTTGGGACCACTTACAACTGCAACATTAGATAATGCACGATTAGATAATGCGCCGCTTAATTGAAGCTAAACAAGCAAACACATCATCCCCTTGATTAGATAATGCATGTTTGTTATGATTTGTTTATGTTTATAGCATCCTCAATCCCATTAAGCTGCAAAGCATTGTTTGCGCTTACCAGTTCCTTTCTTAATCCAAGGTGAGACCATAATTGTGGGCACGCGAACACCTAACCGATCAAACTTGAAGAAATATGGAGCTGGTCCTGTGTTCCCATCTGGACTAGGAACATTGACAAAAGGAGTCTCTACATGATCATAAAACCCACCATGTTCATCATATGTAATCACCAGAAGAGTCCCATTCCATTGAGGGCTTGCTCTCAGAGTCTCATACACCTCTTTCACGAGCTTCTGTCCATTTGCTACATCATGAGATGGGTGATCATCATTCGCAGGGAAGCCTATCAGGTCAAAATACCTGGGCTCAATCACTGTCAAGGGAGGAAGCTTCCCATTTCTAGCATCATTCTTGAACTTCAGATCATACTGATGGAACTTGAATATGTATTTCAATCTCCTTAGATTTCTATAGAACAGGGTTGTGGGAATATTCTGGAAATATATCCCAAAGTCTATGTCATTCTCATGGAGAGAGTCAAATATGGTTTTCTGCGGATACCCTTTAGCTAACTGCTTAGCGATATGGCTTACTGAACCATGAGAAGTAGCAGAGTACCCAAAAAGCCTATTTGGCTGAGTAGGGCCCGGAATTGAAGAAAACCACCTATCGAATACAGCAAATTCTCGAACTAAAGCAGCATAAACAGGCAGAGATTCAGGTCTAAAGCCTTTCATGACAGTCTCAGAGAGGTTTTGAGACACTGATAATGCTTGTTCGACAAATCCATTCATGGAAGGAAAGGAAGCAGAGCCGAATACCTGTTGTTCCACTGCTTCAAACGAATGCGCCGGATCCGGATCCACGAACTGCGCATCATCCGTGAAGCAAATTGCTTTCGGTTTCGGACTTTTTGTGGAAACCGGGTTGCATTCTTCGCCCGTAACCCCATTGATCAATGAATTGATGGCTTTCTTCATCCATCCCAGCATGTGATCGAACGAGCGGTTCTCCATAACCAAAACTACAATAGTTTTGATGGGTTGTTGCTTCTGTGAGGTAGCGAGCACATTGGGAGACGACAGAAGCAGACATAGCAGAGTGAGATGGAGAAAGAAAATGGAACAAAATGGGTGAAGTAATCTGGGTTTGGTACCTCCCATTGTCCCTCGAAAAGATGGATTTTGAGAACTGGGTTTTTCTGGGTCGTGGTTTCAGTTAACGCCGGTGAGGGAGGAAGAAATGGAATGCGAGGTGAATTCAGATGCAGAGCAAAGTTTGATCGCTCGTGCAAGATCTGTGCTTAGTGGGTGTGATATGGAGAATAGAAAGCAGAGAAACGGAGAGAAGCTTCTGGTTTCGTGGGTTACTGCGTGTATGGTGGTACTACCTTCAATGGTGGCTGCAGATAAGGAGAAGCAGTTAATGAAATGAGAACGGAAAGTAACTTTTAGTGGGTATTTTGCGTTTATAGCTCACGACGTACTCCATTGTCGAGCATCTTGTTTTGGGTTCGGGGTTTTATAGTTACTGTTTCTTGGAATACTTACCGTCAGACGGTGAAACAATTGAACTCTTTTTTGACTCTACGCGTTTGTATGTATTGCAATCATTAAAAGCTTGAGGAGGGATATGGAAGAAAGATGCTAAGAAACTGCCATTAGGGACGACTCTTGTGGGCCCAGCGAATGACCACAACGGCATGCATGTGAAGCTTGGAATTATTTTATTTTTCACGTGAACTTTTTGGGCATTATTTGGATGGATTTGCTAATCAGGGGTTTCATGCATTCCTATGGGTTTGATTAACGTGGATTTAGAGGACTTCTGTAATCTGTATCTTTAGGAACCTGGTCTTGAATAGATATTCTTAAATGATCATTATAATTACTTTCAAAGCCAAATATATGGCTTATCTATCTATTTAAGAGACCTACCTGATAATCATTTTATTTATCATTTGTTTGTTTCCAGTTTTATATATATTGCTCGATCATTCACAGCATATAGATTCAAGGGAAAAAGACAAAAAAAATGACAAATTAACTTGGGAATGACAGAAACATCCGCTAAATTTTGCAAAATCCCATTTTGGTCTCATGTGACTTTGAGATTAAATTGGAATTATCATATTAAATAAAAAGATCAAATTACCTTTCATTTTATTTATTATTTTTAAAATACCAAAACTCCCACTGACCCTGGCGATCGGTCGACAATTGGTCACCCGAGCTCCAGTAATTGGAAATAATTTTTTTAAAAATTTTTACAACTTTAGTATAATGGTTAACAACTTCAATATAACAGTTAACAATAGGTCTTCTGAGAAATTCAACAAGCTCCGGCGGCCAGAAATAATTTTTTTGAAAATTTTTACAACTTCAGTATAACAGTTAACAACTTTTGTAACGCTATTAACAATTTCAATGTATCAGTTAACAATAGGTTTTTAGAAACAATTTTTTTTGAAAATTTTTACAATTTCAGTATAACGATTAACAACTTTTGTAACGCTATTAACAACTTTAATATAGCAGTTAATAACAAGTTTTCTGAAAAATTCAGAAAGTAGCATTTTTACAACTTTAGTAATATTGTTAACAAGTTCCGTAACTTTATTAACAACTTCAGTATATCATTTAATAACAGATTTTCTTAAAAATGTAAAAAAAATGGTATTTTTATAACTTTAACTACTACTTTTTTTAAAAAAATTTTATAACTTTAGTACAATGGTTAATAACTTTTGTAACTCTATTAGCAACTTCGATATAGCAGTTAATAACAGGTTTTTTGGGAAATTCAAAAAATAGCATTTTTACAACTTCAGTAATACCGTTAACAAACTCAAAAACCTGTTGTTAACCGCTACACTGAAATTGTTAATAGCGTTACAAAAATTATTAACCGTTATACTGAAGTTGTAAAAATTTTCAAAAAAATTCTTTTCAGCCGCCGGAGCTCCGGTGATCAATTGTTGAATTTCTTGAAAAACCTGTTGTTAACTGATATACTAAAGTTGTTAATAGCGTTACAAAAGTTGTTAACTATTATATTGAAATTGTAAAAAAATTTTAAAAAATTGTTTCCCACTGCCAGAGCTTGTTGAGTTCCTCAGAAAACCTGTTGTCAACTATTATACTGAAGTTGTTAATAGCGTTATAAAAGTAGTTAACCGTTATACTAAAGTTGTAAAAATTTTCAAAAAAATTATTTCCGACTACCGGAGCTCAGGTGACCAATTGTTGGCCCGTCACCGGAACTCCAGTGACTGCTGTCGCCGAAGCTCCAACGACCGGCCGACTAATGAGGGCTTTAATATTTTAAAAACAATAAATAAAATGAAGAACAATTTAATCTTTTCTTTTAACATGATAATCTCAATCTGATCTCATGTGACCAAAATGAGATTTTGTAAAGTCAACGGACGTTTCTATTATTCTCAAGTTAATCTGTCATTTTTCTGTCTTTTTTCCTAGATTCAATCTTATTTTTACTTGAATACGGCTCATGTGAGAGGAACTTTCACCTGAACAGAGATGGAGAAAGTCAATCATTTGAAAAAAAATTTTAAAAACACACGCGCGCACTCGTCCGCCCAAATTTGAGGGCACGTGACTGACCCGATTTTTCCCAAAAATAAAAATGTTGAATCAAGGGAAACACTTGCGCATTAATTTCATCCCAGCGGAAAGCAATTTCGATTTCATGGTTATGTCATTTTTGCGGGGCATATACAGAAACTGTTGGTCGTGACATGTGCTTTCACTAAAAGGACAATAATCAAGGATAAATTATCAATGTCAATCAATTCAAAAACTGATCAAATGATTCTTTAAGAACCCACAATGCCAAACAAAAAAAGCCAACCTCTTGATTATTCTTTACTTATTCCTTGCACACAATCCCCAGCAATCTTAAAGCTGCACATCCTTTGTTTTTGGTATACAAAGCATCCAAGGATGATGCATCCCAAAGTACATAATAAGGAGCATCGGAATGAAATAATGACAAGTATATTTGGATTTTTCATGTATAAACAGATACACTCGTACAAAAATTAATTTAGCATATACAGAGTGGCAAGCGCAAAGACTGCACTGCTCCAGCGTTCCAGATTCAACTTCAGGTTGGTCTCTACTGGAACTCAAATCCAGATTCCGTTCTGCTCCTCTCATTCTCATGAAGTACGCTTCAAGTATGTTAACAAGCCTAAGCCGGCAACAATTGCAGCTCCAGCTGCAACAGCGCTGTATGCTGAAGCCCATGCATCTGAACTTTTAGCGTAATCCAAGCTTCCCGAACCAGAACCCCTCCTACGACCAGTTGTTCCTGAGTAGTCCAGATGCAATCTCAATCCCTGCAAAAATTTATCTTCACAAAGTCAACAATCCTTTCAGGCATACACCCACCATTCCATCTCAATTCGCTTCCCTATCTCTCTCTTTTGTTTGGCTTTTTGTTTTTTTTTGGGGGGGGGGGGTTGGGAGCAATCTGCGGATCTTTCTGGGTTCAGTCAAAAAGCAAAGCATCCTTCAGAACATCAAACCATACAAGATTTGGACAGAAATCAGATCCAGCCATACCTTCATGCCTGTCGACCTTGCATGGTCAACAGCTGCAGCAAGATCACTATCTGAAGCCAATATAACTTTGTCATGATCTTCATCTTCATACTACAAGCAAAAATTTAACCGGCTAGCATCAGGGGAAAAAGAAGATATTGGCCTAACCATGCAATAGTAAATACTCCTCCGATCCTTAATATATGACCTAATTATTTAGTTGATTGTAATCCTAAATATAAGACATATTTGTCATATTTATCAATTTTTCTTAAATTACCCCTATAGATACTCCCTCAATCATAATCAAGTAGAAGAGAGAGAGAGGATATTACGGAAGATAATTATGATATTTTAGGAAAAACATGTCATATTTCTTATAATTAACTAATTTACCTAACTTCCTTAATCTAATTAACTTAGTTAAATAGGTCTTATATTAAGACTAGAGGAATACTATATCTTGAAAGGTCAAAAGATACCAGAATTTGGGGCAGGTTGTTCGGGTCAATTTCATTACCGACTCTCTGAATGATAGCAGTTATAACCTCTGTCAAATTCCGAGTATCTGAACTTGCAAGCAACCATGTAAAGTTAATCAAACAATGATTATTTGTACAAAATCAAAAGAGGATCTAGTTTACAACAACAGTACTGTCAAAGTCAGATCTTTGAACATGACAATAAATATAGATTTACACATCAATTTGACAGGGAAATAAGATTAAGCCAGATTCAAGAGTGAGACTCATGAAAGAACCACAGGGAACAAATAAACAAAAGGCTGAAACCACCTTCCGAATGCTGTCAAAGATAACAGGAAGACTGCACTTAAATTCAAAGCTCTAATCTGCAACACGATATTGCATACCACATGTGAATCGATGCATCCGTCCCTTCTTATCTTGTATTTTGAAGGAAAACGTATTTGTCATGCTTGACGAAAGATAAGGAAGAGACTTTGCAGTATCTCCTCCATCAGAAGCCAATTTCAAGGAACCGTCACTGGCACATTATTGATAAAATTTGAGTATTAACTAACAAGTGCATTAAAAAATTGGAATCTAGCACCAACAATGTGTATATAACCTTCTGGTGTCATCATCATCATCGTTTGGAGTTAACGCCATGGCTGAATCCCAAAATTTTTGCATCAGGGTGCTTGCAGCTTCAGTGTTAAAGCTGCCACTATTTCCAACCTGCTTAAGAAGTAAAACAAACAAGTAGTGTCGTATCCTAATATTACAGAAATATAAAACAAACAAAAAAAAATTCTGGTGGCATAAAGGGAAACTTGATCAACAAAACAATGACATACTGAACTTTTGGGGAAAAAGTTGAAGTTTCTACAGTACATCACAAAAGCTATTCAGGAAAAAGTTATCACATGTTATTATAGTGATTATTTAATGGTCACCAAAAAACAAATGATAAGCCGATGACAGCAAAGACTAGAATGAACATGCATTTGAAATTTAGGAAAAAAGAAAGTCTTTATAAAGATTAACATTTGCGTGTGTTCAGATTAAGATGAATGGAATATATATACACTGATCAATTCGTCTGGCAAACAAAATGATGCAGCAAAAACGTATTAGTACATATATAGACCTTAAATTGAAAGAACAAAACATCCAAAATCACCTAAAAATTAGTGCATACATCTCATAAAAACAAGCTTCATGCCTAACTAATCTAAATTCAAGCAACTTGTATTCCGAAGAGACTAAAAAGATATCACTGACGTCACAGTATAAGGTAACACACCTGACTTGCTGTTGCCACAGCAGCATGAGTAACATGAATCACATCAACTACAGAAACTACATTGCCATCTGTTTCAACAAGCCAAATATGAAATACTCATGTACAAACGTCTTCAACATTTCAGCCAAAGAAAAACCATCCTGAGCATAGAATGCTACCTCTATCAACCACAGGAAGATGTAAAAATTTTCCATCATGCATAGTGTGAAGTGCATCAACAATTGGAGTATCAATGGTTGCACATTGTGGGTTGGGAGTCATGACCTGCAAAGTATATTGAATTATATTAAAAGACAGAAAAATGAGAACGATTAACTTCAGAATCACCGCTCCTTTCTTCAAGTACATGAGAAGAGTGATGTGGTTGTACATATTATCGTATTAACACATATGGCAAAATCTAACAATGGTTAGAGCGGAAATGAAAGGAAGAACTACCTTCTCAACAAGAGTTGACTCTGGTTGAAGATTTTGTGCAATTACCCGCATCAAGATATCCTTTGAACTGAAATAGCATAGGTTTATTTAACAAATATATAAACGAACACAAAAGAATATTGTTCCGAAATTACAGCAGTGTTAAAAAAAAAAAAAGGTCAAAATATAGCCTATCTTAAATAAGAGGAGGGGTGGCAATTTTAAGGGCCTAAAAATTACGTAAGAATGCCATGAGATTTTCCTTCAAGTGTCACAATTGCACAGCTTGCACGAAGTTCAAGCATCTTCTTTGTTGTTGTCAAAACTGATTCTGTTGGTGAAACTGTTACAATCCTGAAAAATTCACGAGCTTGTTAAATGGAACCAGCACAGTAGTTGCAAACATGCAGACATGCAAATAAGGTAATTCTTCTTCAATAAAAAAAAAAACAGAGAGAGAGAAAGTATTACCTACTTTGAATTCTCAGAAATGATTGTAGACAAAGAGGGCTTGAACATCCGCTCCCTAAGAGTCTCAATGAATGTGTTAGGGCCTACACAGTGACCAAAATAAACTCAGAAACTGAGAAGTCAGAAACTAAGTACAATAAAGATTTATCCAATAACGCCCTGATCAGAAACCACAGAGTAAAAAAAGGAATGTTGAACAAACCAGAAGAAGATGTCCCCCAATGTTTTTCAACACCTTCAACAGCAGCAGCAATGGCATTTCCTTTTTCAGCCGCCCTTTCCATGCGCGCAATAGCATCATATAAGCACTTTGCTATGTCAAGCAAGGCAACAACTTCTCCATTATCCACCACCGGTAAATGTCTGAATTTCCCTGCAAACAAGATCAGCTATCAGCTCTGTATTCAAACGGTGAGATTTCAAATAGCAACAATCATGAAAAGGTATGCATGCGGTGTGCCTCCCTGCACAATACCAACCTTGCACCATCTTTTGGAGGGCTTCCACAGCAAGAGTATCAGAAAGGACGAATATTGGATTTCTTGTCATAACCTTTGAAACAGGTGTCTCTTCAAGATTAAGCTCACCAGCAATAACTCTTGTTGCTACATCCTTTAACCACAAAATAAGATAGAAACTAATATCTGTTGGAGTACAATACCAGGTGCAAAATCCAAATGTTTTATGTGCTTCCTTCAAAGTGAAACAAAGATAAATATGACTCATACCTTGTCTGTAAGTATTCCACAAAGCAAAGCATTAGAATCAGTTAACAACAGGGCATCAACTCGGCGAGCAGCCATCCGACGGCAAGCTTCAGACACAGTAGTTGTGTCAGGTACGGTTAAAGCCTTTGATAGTCGTAATGATTTCACTGTCCGCTCTCCTGTTAATCTGATAATCAAAGTCCAAACCCAGAGGAATGTTATGAAGTGATTTGAACTAATAAAGTCAAACCAGTTAATGAGAAAACGCATATAAAGTCCAATTCATAATTTTGTTGAACACTGACATCTTGGAGACTGATATTGGCAACGCAATTATGGCACCTGCCAACCTGAATATCTATCTCTAGTAAGCGCAAAGCCACGGGCGAAAACTTAAAAAGTCAAACGATCAAGACCACGGAGAATGTCATATTTCAGACGAATATATCTCGAAGAAAAATTTCATTCTAAAATTTCTCTATAATTTCAAAGCATTATTCAGACCATATTGACGATGAAAAATCTTGATTCTCCGATGCGTAACTCATCAAACAAGAGATAAGGCAGGGAGGTTAACAGAATCAACTATAAAGAAAGCAGAGAAGATTGAACAACAAGTCGGGGACCATATCGCCACTCAACCACAAGCATAAATTAGGGAACCGCAATTCACTTTTTTAGCAAAAATGTTAGGGAACTCAAAATAACATAGCAACCCAAGAACATACGGCGGGCGCGAAGAGGATAGAGATTTCCGGGGCTTAGACTCAGAGGCTCCATTCTGAAAGGATTTTCTCCTCCCCGGCACCGACGACAGACTCCTTCGAGAAGAACTGCTTTGACTAGCCATCTGCGAAAGCAACCGGTCCAATTCCTGCAACCATAGCACCATCAAAATACACAATCAAATTTCAAATTAGATGAAGAAAAAGTATTGCAAAGGGCCAAAAAAAAATGAATTTCTTTTCCCAGAAGAGACGAAAAAAATTATTCCCCGTGTCGAAAGTCGTTTATCGATTATGGAATGCTTCCATCGAATCCAAAGGGAGCCATATTCCAAAATAAAAATCCGAGATAACACAGGAGAAAGAAACTCACCGAGAACTATAACCCCCAGCTTCTGTATCGAAAGAAGGGGGGGAAGAAAGAACAAAACAACAGAGAAACAGTTGACTCCCGAGAGAAATAAATTCAAAAACCGCCGATGAAGATTTCGAGCTCGATAGCGGGGGACGTCAATCGGAAATAGAGAGGACGAGGGAGTTAACGGATTGGGGTGAATCTGGAAATTGGAACAATGGCCCTCGGGAACCTCGTCGGCGAAAGATTCCCGGGGAAGCACACCGGCGGGGACCGAGCGGGAACAGGGAGGGAAGCGAGAATGTGGAGAAGAAAGAAAGGAGCCCTGCAAAATGGGAATTGAGAGCCGAGAAAATCAATCCGAGTAAATGGGAGCAATCCACGTCAGCAGTTCCCTGTCTGAAGAAGAAAAGTAACTCCGAAAGTCCAAGGTCCAAACCCATAATGGTTATTAAAGAGGTTTAGATTGCTACTAATTAACCATCTGTCTCTTCTGGTCAAAAAAAAAAAAAAAACCATCTGTCTCAAGATTTCATGCTCGGATTACGTTTTCCCCGGCTCACATGCTGCGGATTCTTTGTAATCTTTGTATTATGTTATACTTTTTTAATTCTAAATATAAAATTTATTTTTTCAGACCAAAAACTAAAAAAAAATCACCTAACGCAGTTGGTACCCAAACAGTCCGAATGTCCTATTATACACACTAACACACTCACACATCCATCTGATGTGAGGCTTGAGAGCACCCACAAATATAAAATTTATTACATTATAAAGTAAGTCTGATATTTAAGATCTTAGGCTTGGTTAACACTTAGTTACAGTCTAAACAATTTTCAAGTAATTTAAACTATTCAAATGACTTTTTTGAAAATGAAATGGGTCAAAAGTGATGGACTGTGGAGCTAAAAAAAAAAAAAAGATACGCCCGTGCAAAAAATGGAGACCTAAAGGAGAAAGGAATTAATTCAAACATGTTATTAAAATTGTTGTCATCACGGATATCAACATTTTAAACCGTATTTGAAATTAAAATAGGAATGAACTTATAAATTTATGAGTTACATAGTTTTAATTGAATTAGAGTTGTCAGTACTCGGAAAAATTGGGAGCCTCAATGCCTAATGTCGTCCTTTTTTATTTTATACATTTTTAAACTCACTGGAGTACTGGACACACAAACGCAATAGCATTAAACTCCAGCTTAAAATTTCATTTAGGCGTAACAGGAAACAATGTTACTAAAACCTCGTTTGGAATAGTTAAATATGTTTTACATAATATAAGATAAAACTCTTTTAACATATTTATAAATTATTATTAAAAAATTATTTATAAACTATTTTAAACGAGTCCTAAAACAACTTGTCATCGTGGATGTATGGGCAAAGGACAAAGGTGATGGTGTAATCCATCCCAAAAATCCAAACAACGAATGGATGGCTGAAATTTGCAGCGAGCTAAGAACCGCGCGAAGGGATCCCCCAATCTCACAATTCGGGCTTCAAACCTGCGTACCACAAATGCACGTGAGTCCTGGATTTTATAGCCTTCTTTTTTCTGCTTTAAATCTCTGCTTAAATTATAACTAGTGCGTTGCACTGGGTTTACTTGATTTATTATTATGTAATGAGAATTTTTCTTTAGAATTTTATGTATTGCTTAATTCGTTTGGTTATAAACATACTCCTTCTTAATATAAGATCTAATTGATAAGTTAATTTCGGTCCTAAATATAAAACACATTTTCCATATTTATTAATTTTTTATAAATTACTCCTATAGATAATCCTTTAACTATACTTAAGTAAGTGAGGGAAGAACGATATTAAGGAAGATGATTATAATGTTTTAAAAAAAAACATGTCATATTTCTTATAATTAACTAACTTACATAATTTCTTTAATATAATCAAATTAGTTAAAAAGATCTTATATTAAAAATCAAAGGAGTATCTTATTTACATAATAGTTTTTTGTGCTTTCAGAGATAATATAGTATATTACTATATGAGGTTGGCCCATCACTGCATGATATAATATGCAGACAGCGACGGAATTTTTGTGGTTGTCACCTTATTTTGCTATTTGTTTTATCTCCCATTGGATTGTTCTTGTACGATATATATATTTATATATAAAAGAAGGCTTTAGACCCTAGCAAAAAAAATAGACGAGTTATGGGGAGTACATCGTTTTCCACTCAGATTCTCATATTGGAAGTAAGGGTGGAAATAGGTCAGATGGCTTGTCAGAGGCTTATGGCCTAGCCTGTTTTAAAATAGAAAAAAACTCAAGCCTTTTTGATGACCTGTTTGGCTTAATAAGCTAGGCCCCAGACTGGAACAAAAAGCCTATTACAGGCCACAAGTCAGGCTCAAACCAGCATAATATTAAACAAGTCTAACCTATTAAAGACAAAACTTGATCTGACCTGTTTTTACTCCTAATCGGAAGGACACACATTTAACAAGGAGGGGTTAGCAATCCCTTCCTTTACAAATTGGCACGCCACTTTTGTTTCTTTCTCTTGAAATGTAACATGCCTGTAGCCCCAAAGAATGCTGCATAAACCTTTTGATCTGCGTAAATGGTAGGCTGCATCTTTTGTCACCAGATACCTGTATCATCATGTCAATTGAATTCTTTGCATCCGACTCGAGAATGACTTTCCTAAAGCCGAGATCCCCCGCTTGGTTAAAACCCTTAAAGATAGCTCAATTCTCAGCTTCATAAGCACAGCAAAAGCCCAAAGACTGTTTAAAACCGGCAATACACTTGTCTGGATAGAATGGCTGAGTAAGAAAAAGGGTGTAAGGACATAAACAGAACATAGCAGTAGCCCAAGTTGGAGGGAAGACCGATTCTAACTTGGACTTTTCTACAGAGACTGGGCCAGTTAAAAGCATCATCCTGGTGAACATGAAACCATGAAACACTAAGCCCAGTTAGCTTAGAAAAGGATCTACTGCAAATTGCAGTTGAACCCCTCTGATCCCAAGCTCCCAAATGTACTTTTATTATTATTATTATTATCAGATTCTATATAAAATTAATGAAATATTGATATCTTACAGATATAAAATAACATAATTTTAATTTTTTTATTTTTTTAAATATTAATTAAAACTGCACGCTTCTATAGGTCATTATGTATGTGTATGGTAATTCAAACTGCACACTTCTAAAATATTGTTCTTTAGAAAATTGTAAAAAAAAAAAAAAATTACACAATTTTATGATAGTAAGATATCAAAATGTCATTTATTTTATGTAAAATTCAATGAGCAATAAAAAATTTATATATTTGGGAGCTTGGAACATAAGAGACTCCTTGCTTATAATTTCATGGCACTATTGCTTGCTTCTGAAGAAACAGAATTGCTCTCGAAATAAATGCTATATTCGATTCCTAATTATAAGATCTTATTAGTTAATATTTGGGAGTTGAGGAGTTCATATGGTGCTTGGGCTTGGGTGTTTCTATTCCTTGTAAGAGAGAAGGAATTGCTTGTAAGAAAGATGAATCCCAAATAACCAAAGAGAGTGAGCGAGCTTTTGTTGCTTTTCCGAAATTTGTTCCTTTCTTCCAAGGATCGTACTTCATACAAGGTCAAAAAAGTATCATACTTTATACAGATAACCCAAGCAATCAATTAAGAGAAGCGTCTTCCATACTCTGCTTATTTCACGAAACTCTTTCTCCGTTTCCTCTTCGACTTGTCGTTCTTTTGTATCCAACACGATACAAAAGGATTCTCCAACCACTCACAGTTCTCGAGGCCCCAGAAAATAAAACAGGCGATGGATAGCTTCATTTGATATTATTTGCTCTCTTTTTTTACACGTGTCAATGTTACATCAAGTTATCAACTTCAACTAAAACTTTTCTGGTTCCATGTACCCGTTATTTCTAATATCAACATAGAAAAACTTTAAATTTTATTAACTTTTCATCTTTATACATGCGGTTAACCGAATAATCGAGCTGAAACATTTTAATTAATTCAATTATCACTGAAAACCAAAACAAAAAATCGAATACTCACCTTTACAGAGAAATATATCAAATTACGCCTACTACTTGAAGCGCTGCTTTAAACTTCTGCTTGTTCACAAAATTAATTGGTCCTAAGTATGCTTCTGATCTCTTAAGCTTTTTTTTTTTTTGGGCCATTTGAATCCTAATGGCTTGAAGTTACACGTTCAGTTGAATTAATGGTCTTTTATTTATAAGAAAGCTTATCATTAATAATTCTTTTATGATCTTGAGATCATTTGACAACAGTTAAATTTTAATATTATGTTTTAAACAATCAACTGTCTAGTATTTACTTTCCTAGTCCCTAAACTTCCAATAATATTTGATCAAAAAAAAATTCCAATAATAATATAATATTACTCAAAATGAACTATAATTGTCAACTAAGTTGTGAAGTGAAGATCAAGGCATGATAAGTTTAAGGGGCAGTCATGTTGTGGGCCAATTTTCCAATGCAGTCAATGATAGTCATTACTTAAAGGGCAAGGCATTCTTCAGTCATGTTGTGGGCCCCACAATTTGGTGGGTCGGTACCGACGGGCCCAAGGCCCAACTCAAGAGGCTCCCCCCAACTCACAAATATAAATGAATATTAACTTCAATTGCCTGCCTAACACAATTTAATATTCACTATGTTTAGTACCTAAAACCTTTATCATAACATTAAAAAAGAAGAAAAGATGAAAATGTGACGGCATAAAAAAGAGAGAGGATATTGTTAAATAATGGTAATTCGAATAGTATATTAAACAAACAATTATATTATTTTGCACTTAGTTGTCCGTTTCCCTTTCTATGCTCAAAATCCTACAGTGGGAAATCATGTTGGTGACATTGCAACATATTGAGAAGCCTTGTGCGACTCCACAAATGTGAATAATGGCATATCATTGGCTCTTATTGGAACAAAATATAACTCATATGCCACTTTTTCTATGTCTCTATTTCACTCAGTATCAGAAAAAGGTTTATGGTATTTCAGTGGCAGCACTGAAATTTTATATGATGAGGCAGCAGGATCATGGTCTTAAAGCAGTTCAAGTGGCATTTTGTTATTAATTTCTAAAAAGGATTGCCCACCATAACTTTTTAGTTGTTGGAAGAAGGTGAGTCTGACCACGAAGATGAGAACTCATTAATACTGCCTCTACTATTTAGTTGATTTAGATAGATTGATGAATTCCGATAAATTATTCAATTAATTAATGTAACATGATCTTTTTAAAATATTCATACATGATATTAAATTATATATATTTATGAGTTAGATAAATTAGTTTGAAAATAATAATAAAATAAGAAACAAGTAAACTAAGATCTTATATCTCGGATCAGATAGCTTATAAAGTAAGGACGAAGGGATATGTATGTATATAATGATTCATTGTGGAGTAGAGCTGAGCAATAATTGTTAATTCTCTTTATCTGACTTGGAAGCATTATTAAGAAAAGAGAACAATTGGAAAATTGGTGGGGAAGGAAGCCTAAGCGTGGGCTTGGAAATAGTTATGATGGAAAATATAAGCAATAATAAATGAAATATAGACTTGGACGTCTCAACCATTGTAACCTTCTCCAGACAGATTTTCCTCTATAAATTGCCTCTGCTTTCTTCCCTGGCAAACTGAGCCTACTTGAAGCTCCATTATTCTTCACCTTGCGGTTCATTGATAGGCCAACACAAAGAAAGAAAGGCCATCAAGCAACGTAGAGTTCTTCTGTCGAGGTAGTGATTCTCTCTAGCCTTGTTCATGCTAATTAAATCTGTAGGTCTGGGGAGAACATGTCGATGTTGGGACGGCTCAATCAAATCAAATCTCTCAAGAGTTGGGTCCTTTAATTTGATTGAGCCGTGCCAATATCGAGCTACAGCTTTCATTCTCTCTTTTTCCAACAAAAATTTTCATCACCCATATGGTCGAATTAATTCCTTTAAAGTTGTACTTGGGTACGATGATGAATTAATTTATTTTAAGTGATTGTATGTTGTACGATGTAACTCTGTGAGATGAAATTTTGTCTCACACAACATAAAATAACTTATTTTATATAATTATGATAGTTTCCAAAATAAATATGGCTGTATTGATATTAAAACAATCTCAAGGGTTATTAATTTCTTCATTGAATATAAATTAAAAGATATTCCCCCATCCTTTTTATAAGGCCTGATCATCTACTTTATAATGAAATTAAGAAAATTAGTGAATTAGTTAATTGTAAAAAAATTTACGAATTTCCAAAGTCACCTTTTAATTTGTATAGTTCATTACGGGAAAGAGGGAAATAGAAAAGTTATTATTTAAGCTAAAAGTGAAAAAGACAAGTATTTTTCAAATGAGTCACAAATATTTTGTTATTTTTTTTTAAAAAAATTATATTAAGAACCCATAGTTAGGATCTTATAAATTTGACTAGAGCGAGCACAGCATTTGTTATGTTTTAGTTATATTTTTCTGACAGTAATTATCTCTTTTTCAATCAAGAGATAATAGCTATTTATCATTACAATAGAGTTTATTGAAATTAATAAAGTCTATTACTCGTTATTATTATTGTTGTTTTGAGATTATACTTGAAGAATGATGTTTCATTGGTATCCATATGAGATTAATATGACACAACCTTGCCAAATCATTCGACAAATAGTGATCGAAAAGTTGGTGGGGAACAGGTTATGCAGATAGGGTTTTTTTTTTTTTTTGAGTAAAAGATAGAGTTTTGATTTTATCATAGGGGACGAGCCTTTCTTCTAGCTAGGCGATATTCTTATGGAATTAATAATAAAAAATTCCTTTAATAATATAACTAAAAGTATTGTATCACTGTATAGAAATGCTTTCTTATAGTAATATTTTAATGTTCAATGATGGTGCATTCATTTTATTATTGTCGTTGCGTGCACACCTTTGTATTCAACTATTCATGATTCAAGTCTTGTTCCTAAGTTTGGGTGCGTGGTGACGCAGCAAAAATTTGGAATTCTGAAATTGAATTAAATTCTTATCTGTCAAAAATATAAGCATTATCGTTAATATATCTTCAACATTTATAATGAAAACCTATTCATTATACAAATCATTGCTAAGACTCTATACATATAAGATCTGTTTGATTACTATACTATTTCATTATAACAGCATTTTTTTTATTCCAATTTTATTTCGTTATAACAGCATTATTGTTAATACTTCATTATATAAATATATCTATTGTCAGCTATAGGTTTAATTTTTTTGTTAGTATCCTCTTTAATCATGGATTTTGTATAATGAATGGGCGAGCCTCATCTAGCTCTTATTATAACTATACATACATACATATACATATATATATATGTACTACCTCCGGTCCTTAATATAAGACCCTGTTTGACTTTTATTTTGGTCCTAAATATAAGACCTCAATCTACTTTGTCTCTAATATTTATATATATTTTTTCTAAAGTAGCTCTTCTAACAATGATAGTTCTAGTTAATATACTTGATTAGCAAGGATATTTTAGGAAAGACAACACCTATTTATGACAAATAACTAACTCAACTTACTTCCTTAATCTCCTTAAATTAGTCAACTGACTCTTATAATTAAGACCGAAGGTAGTATAATATAAACCAGTTATATTATAATAAACAATACGATTCATTTGCGAAAAGCACTTGCGACAAAGCTATACGTATGTATCCGATATTTCTACCTCTATGAGAAATAAAAATGAACATTATATTGTCTTTTATTTTCATGCAAATAAATGGCACAAATGGATGAAGACTAAGGCGGAACAAGATTAAAATATCGTAAATATATGGATGCCATTAGTTGATAATTAACATTTATGTATAGGTAAAGAGTCTCTCCACTTTTCTTCTTCTTTATTTCCATCCACTTCCCATCTCAACTATGATGATTAAAGGTTTAACGCACAGTCCAGATTTTATGCTTTTGAAAATAATTTTACAAAGTATTTTTTATTATTGTTTTAAGTTATACTGACTAAAATTTAGTAGTTTTATTTGATTTTTCATTTATTTATTTTTGAAATTTTAATATTTTATTTATAATTTTATAAATATGAAATTTGAACCGTTAAAATCTCAATCTTATAACTGGAATAAATAAGTAGACGAAAATAAAGTAAAACGGACGTGGAGACACCTTTGGCCATTTATGGATGCCCCTATTTGAGTGAATTATCCAAAATCAAGTCCACATGGATATATTCAGAGGAGAATCACTGGTAATATAATATAGCTAAATGTGTTCACGGAGGAGGAAGATAGGAGAGAGCCAAATAGACAGCACTGGAAGCATGAACAGGGCAATGAGGAGGGGCCTGTTCTTCGCACTCATGGGATTTCACAAAGCTTGAAGAAGATGAAGAACAGCGTCCAATCTCTCCTTTGCAGAATATTCCGGCGACCGGAACACTTGGGAAGTTGGCATAAAATGGGTAGATATCAGTATTAGATGTTCCAAAGTAAGATTGGCCTCGAGAAGCACAAGCAAATATTAACCCACCAAAAACAGTTTCTTCACTTCCCATGAAACTCTGCTTCAGCCTTGTCAGATTCTCAAATGCAATTTCACTTGTGGTTCGTGCAGTTTCCAGATCTCTGTGGTAGAACAGAAACGTGTCTCCTGCTCTCACCCCTACTCCTTCCACCACAAAGTACTCTCCCTCTCCCTATTTCATTCAACAACAACAAATCAGTCACTCGCTCTTATCACAATTCCTTCTGAATCATTATTATCTTACCCAATCACTTGATGGAACAAGGTGGATTCTGATACTTTCTTGATCAGTCTTCCATTGCCTGAGTAATACCTTCTTCCATGTGACACGCCTATGTACAAATCAGGACGCCTGTCACTCACCTGCACCATGTGACACTCTTTGATCACTTTAAGATCATATATAAGAAGAAGAAAAAGAAGAGTGGGTTGGTATGAGTATTTGAACATATATATACGTTTCAAGGAGGGTTTCTATGACGGCCTCAAAAGTCAATATCGTATTGAATCCTTCCATGAGAGCAGAGAAGCAAGTCCATTTGATGTCACCTTTGACGAGTACATCGATCACCTCAAACCTTGGCCCAAATGGCACTAAACCCCCTGCCATTGCCACATGAAACCTAGTCTCTCCTACGTCTGTTGAAGTAAAAACCAGATTGGTGAAAAACAGATAAACTCAAAAGAGTTACATAGAAATAATGGAATCAGAGTGTTACCAGGAGACTTGTGACTGTCTTTGGCGAATACGAGGGCGATGGCATCGAGTGCGTATAAATCAGGAGGAAGATTAATTGTGTAATTCGACTGTTGAACAGAAAGCAGCCTCCACCATCCCCAGCCATCACTGTTTCTTTTCCTATTGCTTGATCTGCCACGTAATATTTATACTTGCATTGTTCAGCAAAATCAGAATATACATCATATTACAGATTCCTCCCAGCATGCAGGTGACTCACCCATTGTTGCCATAATGTGTTAATGTCACTTTTACGATCCTATGTAACAGGAAAAATAGCAAAATGCAATATATTCATGTCATTTTTTTAATCAGTAACTCCAAAAGAAGCTAATCATGGGGTGAAAAAAAAATGATCTCACTCCAAATATTATGATAGCAGCAGGTGGGTGATTTCCAAAGACAGAGTAAGCAAAGGCCTTGATGTGTCTCACGAACTCATCAACCATGCTGATTCCAGGATCCTGATCATACGTCACAAATTTCTCACTCACTTTCATATTAAATAGTCAGGTTTATTTATAAAAATTGCATGAGAGCTAAACAAACAATGAATCTAACTTACATTCTTTGGGTGAATCAACGGTATTGCATCCACTTTGAGACCAGGAACATATCCAACCACCAAAACCATGCCTCGATTAACATCACTAAATCCATTAGCCTCGCGAGGATGAGGGCCTTCGTAATCAAAGTAATCCCATTTCACCTGCAGTTTCTCCGAAAATATACTCTGAATTAGACATCTGTCAAAAAGAAAGCTGAATAAAGAACATGACACAGGATAGAAAAAAGCTT